ACTGAGTTGCGTTCGGGACCTCTATATAGCCAAGGCCACCCCCCATAGTCACCTTTTCAATTCTTCCCTTCTTCCCTTCTACAACAACCACAGTATATATACTATATAAAATATTGTATAGACTAAATAGTAGATTTCAGTTAGGAATAGCCTTATTTATCGTCTTTAAGAAAAAAAAAAAATTCAACTTTGCGACGGTAACCCCCTATATTATAGGGGTAAAGCGCTATAGGTGGTTTTTAACTACGATCCTTACTGTACTACGGCTCAAAATCGAGCCGTAGTGTAGTAAGCAAAACGGTTAAGAATTAAGAAGATTCTAGCCCTCTGATTGGTTAAATCGACAATTTGGAGAAAGTGCAGATGGTTGCAGGTAGTTGCAGCAACTTGCATGAAAATTAAGCATTTTTACTGAGAAATACCGAATACTGCGCAGTTCAGTAAGCTAGTATGCTTACTACGACCCGAACCCTATAAATCTGAATACCCTCTAATTTTTTACTGTGGTAACGAACACGCCCCAACACAAATCACCTACATCGCGTCATCCCCACACTCTGCTACTGAACCGTCATGTGTTGCCCTGGTTGATAGCGGGAAATTCACAATGACAGTAGGCCTAAACAGAAAACAAACCTCAAGTGGTGGGAGCACGTGAACCCAGGGACCTTGACATGAGGTATATGTATTAGATCTTTGTGCAGAAGATATAACAAGAAACAAAGCGCGATTGGCGTAGTGGTTAACGCGTCCACCACCTCGCGTTGAGTATGCGGGTTGAAATCCCCGCCGAATCACTTGGAAAGACCGAGATTGAGGGTACATATAGTCAAGACGATACTGGTGGAAGACCCAGGTTCGACTCCTGGATTGCACAATCTCTTTTTTTGTGTTTTTATCTTGCCTTTTTGTCTGGCGATGATGATATGGTGGTGATGATGGTGATTTTGGAAGTAGAAGTGGAGTGTAGCATGAGGGGGGACTTGCTTGCGAGTGAGCTCGGTGCCTGGTGGAACGAGGAAGGAGGATGTGTGGAAAGAGACAGCCATCCACGGAATGGAACTGGGAGACAGTGTGCGGATTCGACTGGCCATGTGCAAGTGCAAGATCGGAAGGAACCTCGAGTGTGTACACTGGGGTTTATGTATCAGGTCTTTGTGCCCAGACCTCAACAAGAAAAAGCGCAGTTGGCGAAGCGGTTAACGCGTTCACCACTCAGTGTGCAGTTGTCTGGGTTGAAATCCCCGGCGAACCACTGTCAAAGACCGACTCTGGAGGGGCATGGGCATATATGAGCAAATGGTGAAAGACCCAGGTTCGATTCCTGGACTGCGCATTCTTTTTTTCTCTTTCTCTCTTTTTGCCTCCTAGTGGGTGATGCCTTCATGATGGTGATTGGAGATTCGTGTCTTCACTTCCAAGTGGCAGAGGAACTTCGAACTTTCATCTGCCTCTCCATACTCCTTGGCCTGGCCATCAGAAGTTCACCTGGGCACGACTTACAAGACCAAAAGGACACGCAACTAGACCGCGTCAGGAACCTTGAACTGTGTGCCCACACAGCTCCCCGGCCCTTAGCAGCTGGCATCACCCCACCTAGATCACTACCCCGGCCGGCACCAGCAGCTCGAGACCGACATCCACGACAGCAACACAAACAAGCACAGACGCGCCAGCCCGACCTTCACACGCCAGTATATAGGAGCCCAGGTCAGACCCCAGTACCAACAAGTCACTAAAAGAAGTTAGAGTGGAGTAGTAGTTTAACTCGCTGCCCTCCCAAACTCGTGTTTGGAGTTGCGGCAGAGACTCGGGTGCGAATCCCGGCTCTAGCACAATCTTTTTGTGTCTTTTCCTGTTTTTGGCTCGATGCAGACAGAGTTAACAAGGCTTTTCTTTTCATATGAACTTTTACTTGTGTTCATATTGACTTTTTTTGACCGGTTGAAAGTTGAAATGTGTTGAAGAGAAAGGGCTGCTATAGTGGGAATAGCCTGGATCCGGAGACAAGGAAGGCACGGTCAGAGCCTGAGAGATTGACTGCCTCTGGAACTGGTCTGGGCCACTCACCACCTTTTAACTCACAGCTTTTCGTGTTTCTTTTCACTGCGGAACAGCCAGTAAATGTCCGCAAGGACAGGGGCGAATTTCTGCTCTATCCGCCCGACAGCTCTCTCTAGAAGTCTGGTTGCACTGTGGAATCACTTCCGTGACACTCGGCAGTTATGACGGCGATGTCAATGAACAAGCAACCAACGCAACGGAAACAGACTATCCGAGGTTCTATTGCCCTCGGTTGGCTTTACTTGACTTCAGTTCGTAAAGTCTGGCTTCCAGTTATCCGAACCGTCTACATCCTACCGGGAAATCACCTGGAAACAGATTCATCTCGAGAATTCTTCGACTCTCCATCACCACCGCGACGACATTAAACAACCGACGCGTTCAAGATCCGACATGCTATTCTCCTACGAGCCTTTTCACGCTACTATCAACTGACTGGTGCTTCGTTGACACTTGACGAACATGGGGGTAACTCTACTACAGGAAGGGTTTCACTTGTCAATAGTTCCCGACGCGAATAACGAGAACATGGCCTCTGCCAGACTGAACGAGGCAATGGCACAAGAGCAAGAAATGGGACAAATATACGAGTCTCTGTCCGAGTCCGGACCAGATGGTGAAGCAGTGGTGACCTTTAGGGCTTCCAAACACCCGATCTCTTTCCCAAACTGCTCTCCTTGGGCTTGCTTTCCATTACACGCTAACTCTTTGCTAGAGGCACTCAAGACAGTTTCCATCCAGCGTCTGACGGCTCTACATCCCTTCTCCGATGCCGATCCCAGACACTCGACCGCATCTCGACCACCGAAATCCTTTTCCAGACCTCAACCGACCGATACTCGCTTTTAAGACCTCAACCACCCCTTACAACCCAAAGAACTCCATATCATCACTCCCCCGAATCGGCACCGAATGCCCAACCCCCCTCGCATACACCCCCACCAGCTTTCCCTTTCCCCAAGTATACGTCGTATACCCACTCTGCGGCACGTTATCCTGCGTCGTATCCGGCTTCAGATAATCAAACCCAAACACGCCCGCCCACTGCTTGATGGTCTCATTATAATTATTCGCATTCAGCGTGGTATCCGCACTCCCATGGTATATCTCCATCTTGGGTCTCGCCCCCTCATAACCCGGATACATATCACGCACCACCTTCGCCCACACCTGGGGCGTTCCATTGACTTGGCCATTAGCGCAACTACTATTCCACGCATTGGTCCCGCCTGCTTGCGAGTAGAAGCATCCGGCTGGAACACCACTATACACAATCCCCGCCGCGAACAAAGCAGGATAAGTAGCGGCCATAACGTTGGTCATCATGGCGCCTGACGAGGAACCCGTCACAAACACCTTGGTGGCGTCGCCGTTGTAGGTCTTGAGGGTGTAGTCGACCATGTTGGCGATGGAGTTGCTGTTTCCGCCGCCGTTGTGCGTTAACGTGGCATGTGAGGAGACGTCCCAGCAGGTGCCGGAGTAAGGGGATTCGGGGTAGATGACGATAAAACCCTTTTGGTCGGCGAGGCGGGCGTAGGGCGAATTGGTATAGTATGCTTGGGCGGTGCCGGTGCAGTAGTGGATGGCGACGATAATGGGTGGGGAGGCGGCGAGGTTGTCGGGGACGTAGATGTACATTTTGGCGTTGGAGGGGTTGGAGCCGAAGTTGGAGATTTGACGGAGGGAGGCGGCGGGAGCGCGTTTGTAGTCGAGGGGGGTAAAGGGGGTGATGAGGTCGTCGAAGACGGGGTGGGCGGCGGTGAGGGTGGCCAGGAGGGCCGTGGTGAAGGAGAGGAGCTTCATGTTGGTGTGGCTTGCTGGGAGAACAGTGCTGAGGAGGGATGGTGGTTGAAGAGTTGAGTGTCCTTGTCAGTGAGGGAGGATGGACTGCGGTTTAAGAGGATGATTTCCCCTGGGCTTGAACTACAGCCATCGTAGAGGAATTCAAGAGGTAGAGGTACAATACGTCATTGCCTCCGCGTGGATATTGACGACTTCGTCTTTAACAGTAGGTGCACATTGACAGATTTTTCCATACACTCCAGGAGCAACGAGTTGACTTCCAATCAGGAACAGTTGAGCTGGACTTCATGCCGTTTACCCGCATTTACCCGGGGCGGGCACAAGCAGCGATCAGCGCTACCCCAGATTCCAATCCCGGGGTAAGTGCCACGAGCGCACAAGGTTGAGGCGGATGTTTGCGCTCCAGTCGACATGGATCGAAGCCAGTGATAGGAGGAATATTTTCGATTCAACTATCATTGGAGGATCAGTGAACACGCTCAAAACCCAGTGTGACCATGGTGTAGAGGCTCTTCTGCTACCTCTACTGAGCTAAAGTGACATGATCTACACCCAACTTGCCAGACGCAACACGGAAGATGGCGATCCGGCGTGCCGTTCCTGGCGGGGTCTTCCCATACACCAGGGCAGGAATGAATCCGAAGGACTTCATGATGGCATTCGATCTACCTAGGTAATGTCCGTAAGAAACATCTTGAACTTCCAAAGATTTGTATAGGTAACAACATCCACGAATGGAAACAACAACCTAGAACTAGACTCGACCCCAGCAAACCACCCTCCCTCTTCCCACTACAATCCCTATCCCATCTCCCTTCTCCGCCTCATCCTCATTCCCTTTCCCATCCCCTCCCCAATCCCCCCCCCTTCTTCTTCTTTTTTCTTCTATCCTCTCATAAACCCCCTTCAACACCCCCGCCCAAGTCCCAATTCTTTATACTCCCGTCCTCCATGTCCTCTCGTGCTCCCATCCTCCCATCCTCCCATCCTCCACCTCAGTCCGAACGACGACGATACACATACACATACCTCCACCTCTCCACCCCCAACTCCAGTCTCTTTCTATCAAGTCCCAATCCAGCTTCACCTCAATAGAATTGACTCTCAAAGTCACAGCCTACCTTACCTCCCGTCTACACGCGATCCATGTCATCAAACTCACGCTCCATGCGGGCGCGGTCAATGAAGGATTGAGCGCTACGGAGACGGGCGAGCCAGCCTTGTGTGAAGAAGTGGGCTAGACGGAGGTCGCCGACGGGTTCTAGTTGAGTCGCTTGGGTGTTGGCGGATTTTGGCTGTTGGGGGGTGTTGGTGGTGGTGTTGGATGGAGGTACCTCTGGAGGTGCCTCGAGAGGTGGAGGTAAGGTTGCGTGCCCATGGGGATTGGGAGCATCGTCTGTGTGTGGCTTGCCGCAGCGGGGATTAGGAGTACTGGTGCTGGGGTTGGTGCTGGGGTTGGTTCTGGTGTTGGTGCTGGTGCTTGTGTCGTTGCTGGTGCTGTCGGGCAGGGATTTGAGATCCGGGAGGACAGAGAGGTCAAGACCACTGTTGATGATACCAGTGCTCGATGAGATACCTCCAAGCACTGGTGGTGGGCATGGGCATTTGACAACGCCCTGCCGCCAGATGTTGACTGCTTCGAGAGAGTTCGGGGGTAGTGCTAGTGACGATGACGACGGCGGCGGCAAGCGTACCTCTAAACCATAAAGCGGAGGTACTGCCGTCTTCTTTGTAGGCCCTTGAGGGTCTCCGTTCCATCGTAAGCGTGGGTCGATCCACCGCCTCCCTCTTTCATTTCCTCTTCCTCTTCCTACTACTTCCACTTTATGTGCACAAACTCCCACGTCATGTTCCTTCGGCACTCTGCTGTTATCAATCTCAGCCCACTTAGAGGTACCATTCTCGGCATTCTTCCTAATCCAGTCTTTAACCCGACTTTCTTTCCCATCTCCCTTCATAGAGGTAACTCTCACCAGCCCCTTTCCCTCCTCCCCCTCCTCCACGACCGTCTTCCGATTCTGTAGCTCGAGCTCAGGCTCATCGTACACAGGCTCGGGCAAGTCTCCCGAGCGTGGTTACTCTGGCCTATACTCCCCATAGTCATACCTAGAGGTAGTCATCGAACTACTCTCCTCGCCATAAGCATGTTGTCCCTCTCTCCACTCCTCCCTCCTCCTTTCTTCTCTTCTTTCCCTTTCACGCTCGTATCCCTCGTCGTAGCCCTCGCTTGAGGTATCATCAGCCGCATCTCGATGAAGCAGACCCCGATCTTCACCTGCTTCTTCGGCTTCTACTCGCTCTGTTGACTGTGTGGACGCAGGGTGTCCGTAACCATTATGATCCCTGTGATGAGAGCTGGAATAGGCAGGATAGGGAGAAGTGCTCATCGGCCTCTGCTTTACTACTGTACTCTCAAAGACAGAGGCAGACTGCGAGGGGCTGGCAGTGTGAGACTTGGAGAAGAAGGAGGGCATGGAAACGCGGTTGTGGGAGGTAGAAGTAGCTGGGGCGGATGCTGAGGAGGGGGAGGAGGAGGATTGTTCGAAAACAGAACGCATCCGTTGGAAGAGGGAGCCTCCTCCTCCTCCTCCTCCTCCGGTGCTACCGCTACCACTGCCTGATGTGACACGGTTCTGGCTGGAGGAACGAACACTCTCCCCTGAGAGCCTCAAATCTTCATTCCTAGAAAGACTTGCTTCTCGCTGGTGCCACATTTCCATTACCTTTGGCGTTGACGCCCTGTTCGTTATATCATGCTCCTTGTCATGCGCTAGGCTGTCACCGTACCCGCCGCCGCTGTAATCAGTCCCTGCGTCGGTCAACGAACTGCCACCGCGCGGACGACCGATGTTGTCGCCGACGCTGTCCATGTCGCGGATCCGTGGGTCTTGACCTGAGGCAGGTCCTTCGACGGGGGAACTAGGACCGGAGGAAAGGGTAGTCCCGCTACGAGCGGATTGAGGGGAGGAAGCAGTGGGAACGGTGCCAGAGGTGTCGGCTGTGGCGAAGGTGGCAGCGGTGTTGATGGTGTCGGAGCGCGAGGCGCGGTTAGTTACGTCGCGGGGGACGAGCTCTTTCTCTTCCTTGGGTTGCTGTTGGGTCTCGTGGGAGACATGGTCCTGGGCTAGGCCGGGAGGGGTGGTGGGGATGGATAAAGGGGGAAGGTCGTGAGGGTGAGCTGGAGTGACAGTCTCTCTGTCGCCAGCTTCAGGCTTCTCAGACTGGGAGGGTTGATCGAGAGGTGTTGATGGTCTGTTTTCATGATCATGGCGGTCGTCGTAGGTAGCACTCTCGGGGTTCGTCTCTTGGCTTTGCGCAGGCTCGGGGGGGTGATGAATCCCGACATGATCGTCATGGTAATCATGGAGCTCGGCCGTGTCGTCGGCAGGTTTGACCTCAGTGACCGGAGTTTCCAGAGCTGCTTCGACCTCAGCATCAATGTCAACATCAACGGAAGGATGAGCATGAGCAACGGCATCAGCAGCCGCACCAATCTCCTCCACATGTTCAGCTTGCTCGGGCTCGTCCTCATAATCCGACTCAGACAAGAACTGGTCTACCTCGCTCCAGTCCCTGCCCATGTCCTCCCCCCTTGTAACAGCATGCGGATGATAAGAAATGGAGAAAGTCTCCGAAGGGAACTCGCCGTTCTCGGTATCGCTAGGCTCTGTGAGTTGCAGGACCGGAGGCTCACATGGCTGTGACGGTTGGGCGTCGGCATTGTCGTGGTCGTGCAAGTGACCATCATCCGCAAGTGTCTCCGTCTCCTGGCCACCCAACCGGTAGCCATGACCAACCTGATCGTCAATAGCCACCGGCCCAGCAGGGGACTGTTCAGTATGATGCTCTTCTCGCTGAGGACCCTCCTCTCCATAATCACTCTCCTGAGCCTCCTCCTCACCAACACCCTCCAACTCCTCCGCCAAACTCTTCTCAGCCCTCGCCGCATGTTCATGGCTCAACACAGACGTCGGCTCCTCCACACTCAGAACCTTGTCAAGTGATCCTTCAACGTCGGGATGCTCCGCGGGAGTCGCATGCTCTTCAGTAATCGTCTTAGGGGACGAGTAGCGAAAGGGGTCATACTCGTTATCGTCTGAGTTAGCATGAGCTTGTTGGTCTTCGTCTACTTGGTGCTCATGCGAGGCATGCTCTTGTTCCATGACAGGGTGGGCAGCCTTTAACTCACGAGCTTCAGCAAAAGCAGGCTGTCCCTCTGGGGATGTGGTCTCAACACCTTCTTCATCGATTCTTTCGTACACGGAGTCCTCGGTCAAGTTGTCAACATCAGTGCCTCTTGTGCCCTCGGTTTCATGTTGCTCACGGACGAAGGTGCGGGTATTCGGCTCCATGTCATAGCCGTGAACATCATCCGGTGCTGACTCGACGGTATCCTGAGGGGCGACAAGACCTTCAGTTTTCGCTTCGGCATCAGCCACGGAATGGACAATACCGCTGGAGAAGAGTGTCACGTTGCTTGTTTCATCCACGGGGAGGTCGTGTTCATCGGACAAAGCAGCAGCAGCAGCGTCACCCTCATCATCATCAACATGACCTTCGGTTTGTTTCTCCGCCTCGGCAGCCATGTCACGGCGCTCCACACCATCGCCAAGCTCAGCTTCACCTTCGTCACACTCCTCTTCGGCAATCACATCAAGATGATGAGTCACGAGATCATCCCTACCCTCAAAGTCCTCACTTTCAGACTCGGACGACAAGGCTTCTTGGACACGGACGTCTTCGTTGTAGTCTTCCCGATGACTGTGATGCTCAGGACCAGGCTCCATATCGCGATGATGCATGTCCCCAGTTTGCACAGCATGCTGACGCTCAGCAGTATCAGGATCGTCATCCACACTCAGTCCGTGACTCTCTGGTTCTTCCGTGATATCCTGTCGGCTAGGGACGCGCTCGAGCTGATGGCTTATTTCATCATCATCGTCGTCTTCAGTGTCTTGGTCATCTCCTGGCCGATCTTCTCGCTGGTCATCAGCAGTCTTTACTCGAGTGTCAGGCTGCAAAGTAACGACCACCTCTGGCTGTCCATCCATGCTAGCGGCGTGTTCAACAGAATGAAAACTGGCCTCCAGCCCAGGAGTAGGAGCCAAGTCGCTAGGCGTATAAGGTCTCTCGTAAAGCTGGTACCGAGGCTGGAAATCTTCTTCCACCTCTTCACTGACGTCGGGAACCTCGCGCTCGCGGTGTGCCTCCTCGTGTGCCTGTTCCTCTGCATGGTCGCGAGGAGCATACGAATCATTAAGATGCTCCTGGTGCTGATCGGAACGATGGAGAGGGGATTCAGTCGGGGTGTAATAATCGTCGGTGCTATGCGGGACGTGATGCTGGTTGACGAAGTAATGCGCTGGTTCATGATCCCCTTCTTCGATGGGGGTGTGGTGCATCTGCACTGGTTCGCTGTGGGTGAGGGCCACGCCGACGGCAAAGGGGATGTGGGAAGGGTCGAGGGGATGGTGGTCCGTGTCGAGGATCTGTACTGGTGTATGACCCTCGTCGTGTTCAAACTCAGCCGAGTCGTGTGGTTCGGGTCGACCCAGGCCCATCTCCTCTTGCTCCCTGACGAGCTCCTCAATCGGGACAGGCTCAGGCTCCGGCTCTTCTTCATGCTCAGGTCCATGACCAGGAGGATGCAATTTCACCCTGGTAACGCAGGGCTCAGCGACCCCTTCCACACCCATAACCGGACCCTCCGCCTCTTCATACTTTTGCGCCTCCTCCTGATCGTGTGCCGCACCCTGTCCTAAATCCACCTCACTGGCATACGGCTCCAACACCCCCCTCGCTCTCGTCGCCTCCTCCTGCAGTTCGAACCGCCCATCGTGCGCCGGACCGACGGGGTCATCGACCAAACCTTGGAGGACTTCTTTCTCTATGACTTTCTTCTGCAGCGCTGCTTCTTCATCGACGCCCTGCTCCTGCCCTTCCTCTCCCCCATGTTGTTGTTCATGCTCCCCTTGGTGCTCCCGCTCCCACTCCCTCTCAATCTCCGCAACAGCCAAATCAATACACCCCTGAGCCCTCTCCACAGAATGATGATCAACATCTTGTTCATCAGGCTCAAGCAGCTCGTCATCCAGGACATCCTCAATCTCATCCATCAGCACCTCCCCCTCCTTCTGCCCTTGTCCTTGCCCTTGCCCCATCACATGTTCTCCCTCACCCTCCCTCTCCATACCCTGCAACTGCACGTCCTCTCCAACCTGCCACTGCTCAGGAACGAAATCCGCATCATCATCTTCCTCCATCGCCTTGGCGGCCGTGGGAGAAATAGGAGATGTGGGCTCGTTGATGTCTGTGTAGGAACCGCGCTCGGAGGCGGTGGAGATGGAGGAGTCCGCTTCTGCGTCTACGTCTGCGTTGGAGGGGATGGTGAGGAGGGTGGGGACGGTGTCGATGTTATCTAGGTTGGGGAGATCAGTGTGGGAGGTTTCTTCTGGAGTTGGGTCCGAGTTTGAGGCTGAGGTTCGGTTGGTTTCGGTGTCGGTATTGGAAGAATCGGCATTAGCAGGGGCGGTGTCTGGAGGGTTGGTTGGGTGTGTAGGGAGGCCGGTGTCGGGAGGGGTCAAATTTGCATGGTCTGTAGGGGCTTTGGTATCGGGAGGGTTGGTATCAGTGTCGATGCCATGGCCGACTTGGTGGTCCGCAGATGAGACCGAAAAACCAAGGGGAGCTTGTGTATAAGGCGTGTAATCAGAAGTTTCCGACTCCGGGCTCGAGCCTGTCCCTCGTCCAGCCTTATCTGTCTCTGCCCCTCTGGCCCTATGCCCGTCCTGTGCAGGGGCAGCAGGAGGATGAATAATCCCCAAACTATCATGCCTCCCCCGGGACTCTTCCGTAGTAGCCCGCTCGACAACAACAGGGGCAGTATCATTAGATCCGAGGTGATGATGCCCAACCGGCAACCCACAGTGCTGCCCTTCCTCCCCTTCTTCCACGTCCTCCTCCTCTTCATCAACCTCCGCGAACCCAGCCGAACGAAGGTTCCTGTCCATCGTATACTCAGAGAACGGAAGCCCTCGAAACTCCACGTCCACCAGACTTGTCTTGGTATCTGTGGTTTTCGTCTCAATCTCCACCTTCCGTTCTCGAATGGAATCAGACGCTTTGTCTCCCGGCACGGGCTCATCAGAAGTTTCTTCCGCAGCAGCTAAATCTCCAACAGATACGGTATCAGCAACGTCTTCCTCCATGTCTTCCTCCATGCCGACAGCGGCGGCGGAGAGAGTCCGGGCAACGGGAGAGGTAGGTCTCGAGGCAGCAACGGCTACGGGGGCAGCAACGCTAAGCTCGTCGGGTCTATTGAGCAGGTCGTCCATACTCATTGATGCCATCTTGTCTTTGAATTGGGAGAGACCCGAACCGGTTTCCTCTCGGGCAAGTGGTTCCTCTTCTTCCTCTTCCTCTTCTTGCTCGCTTTCGCTGTCAGGAAGTTTGTAATATCTGTCAGAGTCGGGAGGAGCATTTTCGAAGGCTGCGGCGGGGAGGTAACCCCTTTCGTTGACATGTGTCTCGACTGGCTCCTCCTGGGCTTGAGATGTTTGCTCTGGTTCAAGCATCTGGGCGGCACTCGCCTTCCTCGCCTCTCGAATAGCTCTCGAGTTAAGCGGCAACGGAGTCTCCGTATGGACTTGTAGTTTTTCCTCAATCAACCGATTCAGTTCCTGTTTTGTTGCTGCTCGTCAGCCATCATCCCAGTCATTTTACACCATCAACTCCAACCCAGGAAAAGACCTACCTTCCTTCGTCCCTCCAACCCCCTCAACCTCCCCACCTCCTCCTCCCACCGTCTCTCCCACTCCTTTTCAATCTCCCCCATCAACTCCTCCGTCTCCCTCTCCACCTCCCCCCTCTCCTTCTCCAGCGTCCGTTCCCTCTCCTCATCCTCTTGCCTTAATCTCTCCTCCCACAGCTCATCCTCCTCCCTCCTTCGTCTCTGCAGCTCCGCATCCTCCGCCCTTCTCCGCTCCAGCATCTCCTCGCGCTCCACCCGCCGCTTCTGCGAGAGGAATTGTGTTTCGGCCGTGAAAGCATTAAGCAAAGAGCGAATGGCGGATTCCCGACGGGTGACGAGGTCGTTGATTTTCAGGCGTTCCTCGGGGGAGGCGATGGAGTAGGGGTTGCCTCCGCCGGCGCCGTGGTCGGGCGCGGGGGAGGGCGGCTGGAGGGTGATGATGGTGGTGTGGATTTGGGAAATGGTTTCTTGCATTTGGATGAGGAGGGTGGGGAGGTCGTCTTTGTCGGTGATGACGACGGACGGGGGCGAGGCGAAGGATGCAGATGAGGAGGAGGGGGGTTGGGTTGTTGGAGAAGATGTGGACGTCATGATGGTTGGGTTGTAGGGGGCTGGACGCCCGCTGGTGATTGTTGTCGGCTGCGTGGTGGGTGGTTTTTTTTCTTCTTTCTCGTGGAACTGAATTGTATGGCGCTCGACTGGAATGGATTTCGGGACTTGGTGGATGTCGTTCGTTCGTCGATGTAGCTTGGTTTGGTTGTCAAGGCTCGTCACGACGCATGCTGCCTGTAGGTGTGGTAGTCGACGCTGATGGATGGCCTAGCTAGTAGCCAGTTCAATTCGTTATTGCTGTACAACCTGTAGTAAACATACAACATCGCCAACCTCGGAGACATGGATAGACAAAATGACATGACGGAAGAATGGGGAACCCGAACATCGCGGCTGGCACCGGCGATAAGACTAAGCACCAAGCACCAAGCACCAAGCACTCGAGCAGAGGGACGGCAACTGGACATGGAAGACTCGAGTCGAGTCGAGCATCACCTCTCTCGAGACAGCGATCCCTGCCCTGCCTGCCCACCCATAGTGTCCTCCTCTTCGAGCTCCCGTCTGTACGTATCCGACGTTACTAATATTCGCCTTCATCTTTCCCCGAGAGGTATACACTTGTATATCAACCTCGAACAACACCACCCTACCGGGATGGCGAGGATGAAAAGGACAATCAGGACGGGATACCCCTCCAACAACCATCTTCCTTCTCAACAACTGGACCACGCTTCGATTGATCCTCGACTCGTAGTCATGTGGCACAAGGCGCAGCACTCGCTATGCCACCTACCACCACTCCCTGCCACCTGCCACTTGCGCGAAACCCTTGAGTCTGACATCGCCATTTCCCATATAGGATAGTGTGGCAACTGAATCGCAGTTCGCGCGGTACTAGTACTGTACTCCATGTCGACGGCGGTCGGACTCTACAGTCACAGTAGACGTGTATGTAGATAGACAAGGGACCCAAACCCGGCCGGGAGGAGGCGTCCGTTCGCATCTTGATCGGAGCGCATCTACTGTACAACCTAAGTACAATGACCGGACCGGACCGGACTGGCAATAGGACTCTTGGCCAGCATTCTTCTCTTCTGTGCTTGACTGGCCGGTGGTGACCCATGGCGGGCTCCGATAACCGCGTCTTCGCCGAGGCGCGTCTTCGGCAATACAGGACTCGGCACTCAAAAAGCTTCCGTTTCGGTTGTTCTTAGGTTCTAGGTCGCGCTGCTGTTGGCAATGTGACAATATCAAAGTCTCGTCCATGTCGCGATACCGTCGATAGTCGTTCGTCGTCGTTCGTCGATGAGGAGGTGGGATGTGCGATGTTAATGTGACGACATGTTTCAGGGTTGTTACCTCTATTGTGCCCTGGGAGTGTACTGCAGTACACTACACTTAGTCAGCGGCGGTCGGATGCCGGTTTGAAAATCTTAGTCTGTTCCTTATTCCCTAACTCAATTTACCATTCCAGCCCCTTATTCCAGCGACAAACTGTTAGTGAACACTAAAACCCACCCCGCGCACTATGGCTGACTCCCCAGGACAGGGGTCCAAACACCCTAGTCAAGACCGTTGAACACTACAGAGGAATGCCTGCAAACGTCGTAGCGCTAGCGTCAAAGTGACGCGGAACCTGAAACTCCGAAAGTCCCAAGAAAGTTCCCCTTCACACTTCGGATGCAACATGTGAAGAGATGCCGAATGGTCTTTACTATGCTGTGGTGTTTCAATATGGCATCAAGATGAAGAAGAAGAATGTTTACATTCGGATAGACGGCTTTGGATCACTTGGGTTCACTGTTGGGAAACCGGGTGGTCGTCTATGGCATTGACACCTGGACTGTGCCGCCGTTATCACCTCGCGAATATTGAGGGATTGGATCCGGAGCGTTTCTTTGATGGGGACTTTTAGTGCCAACCATAGGAAGATAATGAGCACCGTTGGGATATTGTACAGTGTTAAGAGCAATGATTATTTGGTAAAAAAAAACGCCATGTGAATGCGGGAAAAAAACAATCGCTATTTTGATAATGTAGAAAGCAGAGAGAAGCGACCCATAGGTATCTGATAGTAGAGGTAGCCAAAAGCGCAAGGCCAAGAAACATGATATGAATGACCGCTTCAAACCCCCTTCCCATTTGCCCTATGGCTGGATATCCAATAAACAGAAAAGAGACACCAAACACCCATCATCATCACCACCGTCACAATTTGCCTCCTTTTACTCCAAGCTTCAATTAGCACAAGAAACACCACTCAAATCCTCGCCATTCCTCCCCTCTCCACCACTGCCCTCCTCTGCTTGTACTGCACAGCAAAATTGTACCTGACAAACGTCCCGTAGCCGTACGCCGCGATGGCAATCGCCAGCCACACACTCGTAATCACCAGGCCAACCGGGAAGATCATAATCTGCACGCCAGGCAACACAAACGCCGTCGTGCCATTCTTGAGACGAGCAATCTCGTCTTCGACCGCCAGCTGGGCCCTGTTAAAATCCGACAAGACGACTTCCTTGCTGAAGACACCAGCCACAAAAGCCGCTTCGTTGGAGGAGATGTTGGTGGAGACGGCGGCGCCTTGCGGGTTGACGCCGGAGAGGGTGACGATGGGGAGGAGGAGATGTTGGAGTTGGGCCCTGTTTTCAACTGTTAGTGAGCTGGAGGGTAAAAAATGGGGGGAAGGGAGGAAGAAACGTACATAGTCATCTGACCAGTCATCTTGTCCGCATCAATCTTTCCCACCAACAAATACTGCTGTAGCAGAGTGGGATCACCATTCGACGGCAGATCCTGCACTATCGTCTGTCTCGCGGCAAGTTTATTTGCCGCCTCGCCATCGCCGCTTCCACCTACTCTTCCCACGGAAGCAGCACCAACCGCGCCCGAAGAAGGCAAAGCAGTCTCGGCCTGGCTAGAAGTAGAAGCAGCAGTCGCCGCCGCTGCTCCCTGCGAAGCTTGTGAAGCACCTGCCACAGGCTGATCAGGGTTCGCAGCCCCAACATTAGCCCCTGTAAACCGCAAGCCCACCGAAATCTTTTCCGGCGCGATCCCCGCGAAACTATCTCTCGCATCACTGATTCTGAACAAGCGTAGATCCGCCTCAAACACGCCCGTCGAGTTGTCCAGCGCCGGCAGATTGTAGCATACGCATGTGCCCGACGGGTTACTCGCCTGTTTCAGCTGGCGGAGTGTGGAAATGCAGGCGGCGTTGACTTGGGCGTTCCAGGCGGTCATGTTGAGGGTGCCGTCGGCGGTGAAGATGGGGTCCTGCCCAACCGAGGAGGCGGACAGCTCTGCTTGTCGTTCTTCGAGAAAGCCCCGGCGCAGGAGGTAGGAACCCATAATCTCTTCCATGCGTCGGTGGTAGGCAGGCGAGTCGCGCGTCATGCCTTCGACGATGAGGGCGCCGATGCCGGCTTGGACGGCGGGGGCCATCGCCAGGAGGGCGGCGAGGAGGGTTGTTGGTTGCCAGAGCATCATGGCGGTTGGGGTTGGGTATCGATATTAAGTGGTGGTGTAAATATTAGTTCCGCCCAGCGGAGTGTCCGAAGAGAAAGTGCTCGCGCGGTCCGGTTGCTGTCGTATTGACGGCCGACCCGAGTGATTCTGTTGATAGGTAATGATGGGTTGCTTCTGGGTTGGGCACCCGTAGATCAGAGGCCAGCCCTACGTCCGTTACGGATGGGATTGTCGATCAGTGAGCACTAAAGTTGGTAAAAGATTGCAACTGAATGGAGGGACCAGCCCAGTTGGTGAAGAGAACGTCTACCTTCTCGATTGAGAAGCACGGTCGCCGCCGTGAGAATCGTATAATTAAAATGATGGCCACTCAAGAACAGGCAAGAAAGAGAAGATGGGAAATTGCATCCGGTGATTTAGACAGAATTGGAAAGCAGCACGCGGTAACTAAAAATGAGGTGGCATGGTTGTCATGGGTTGGTAAGGGACTTTCGAGCCGGAGACGTCCAAACTCGCAATGTTCAATATGGGGTCATGGTCTGACCACTTGTCGGAGCCATGAGGGTAGGGGCCGGAGATGGAACAAGGAGGGGGCTGACGGGTTAGGCGTGAGGGATCCCAGAGGTAGCAGCCGACAATATAGGCCCGGGAACTACCATGGACGTGGTGTTGTTGCGAAGGGGCATCGCGTGGCATGGTGGTGGAGTGAGGAAGCATCGCCGTCCGGATGAGCCCCTGGGCGCTCCAGGATCATGTCTAACATGACATGGCTGGGCGCAGTGAGCCTCCAATGAGGTGGGATATCCCAAGATGTGAGCGGCTGAGCGCCAAAGGTATAAGTCGTTCTGGACCAATGATGTTTCTTCTTCAGACCCAAACCGAGACCACAGGAATCAAATGACAGCGTACAAAGGCCTTTTGACCTTTAAGATCAACACCGACATCAACAGAGGGAGAACAGGGGTCAGACAAGGCAATTGTTCGATATGGGTCGAGAACAAATCAACAAGAGGGACATTGCTCCGTGTAATGTAGCTCTCGGTTGAATCTGACCAGGGGCAGGGCAGCGCTGCTCATGTCCATGATCACATGGAGTCCCAGGAGGGAAAGAAAACAAGACCAAAAAAGTCAAAGACAATGTTGCAGCAAAGACCCAAACGTCCAAGACCTTGGGGGGCCGGGCTGGTATCGTGAGAGGGGTCCGTGGGGTTTCTTGAGGCGCAATGTGTTGCATCATGACGCCGCCCGTTGGGATCCGGATGACTACCAGATCGATGCTGGCGGGACAAGGGACTGTCCGTTTGTGGTGATGAAAAAGGCCATGGACTTGTCGTTGGTTGGAAATGCACTTGCGGTCAAAAGCCATTTGGTTGACTTTTTAATAGACCGGAACAAAAAGCGACAAGGTCGGATCCCATGATAATCGGGGTTGCTGCCACCATCACACAACGAACAGACATCTGAGTCGGGAGGTGAGGTCGTGAGTCGAGCAAGGGGGAAGAGAGAGGCGGGGAAATCTGGATCGCAAATCCGTCAGCCGCCTGGAATCTGAAACAGTGCAAGAGAAATTGACTTCAGTCCTCGGCAGAAAAAAAGGTCCGAGCGCTTACAGCGGAACAACGTGAAGCCACCACAAAGCCACTATGGCGCCACATCAGAAAGAGACAAGCCACGACTGGCAACTGCTGACGGGTGTGGAGCAGCAGCCATCAGTCGCAACGGACGGAACTAACTCGAGACATCGAAGTGGAAGTACTTGTACTAGGAGATATTGAAAATGCTCTGGTCAGCGAGGAAGAAACGGCGGGAAGTGATGAATACAGTCAACCCTCTGATTCCGTCCCATTCTTGTGAATCATATTCATGCCGGGCATACATAGATGTAGGTGCTTCTTTGCCCGAATTGTACTATGTCCCTTGTACCTTGGTGTCACAAACCGGCAATCCCCCATCCGTGCAACCGCCCACGCAAAAACCTGCATCAAGTTACAGCGCTTCCCGCGATCGACGGTCGCCATTCAGCGGGAAGCTCCATTGCCTAGATTAGCTTTGCAAGTTCGGCGCTTACATCACATCGACAATCAACGGGCATCCTGTCCAACGATCTCCCGCCCATCCTATTCCCTACCTTGGGCATGTACTAGTGTAGCTATTTTATTGTCCAACATTCCCATTAAGCCGCAAGATTCCCGCCTGCACATTTTGCGATCGAACCAAACCAAACCAACACACCACCTCGGCGGTGCAGTACATTGGTTGCCATGAAGGGGGTGTAGCACTTGACGCCAAAGTGTAGGTATGCGGCTGACTCCAAGCATCAACGACAGAACAATTCTGAAGTGAAAATGACTGCGATCTCTGAGTTACTGACGCATTTTCATTTACACTTCTGGTAGCAATCGATTTCTCTTTTCCCCTTTCAACAGCTGTCTTTCGAAGTCTGTGGTGTCGTTTGTTGAGAACAAACTACATCCGCCGCACCAGATATCCGCTCATTCAGATACTTCCATCCCGATTCCCTATCAAGAAACAAACCCCCAATCTCGTTGGTACTTAATCAGCAAGCCCAACCTTCAAGCTCCGTCATTCTTGTCATGCATCCCGTTCTCCCATCCATCAAGCGCAAACTGAGACAGCCCAGCTTCTGACATTGTAAACGTTTGCCATTCCTCCCGTCATTGTCACTATCTTCCACCCATTCCGTGCATTTTCCAAGCACCTGCATCACACATTCCTGATCACTCATGTTGATGACTCTGTTGACCATGTCATCGGTGTTTTTAAGCCGCGAGTACGCTAGTTGCCATGTTGACGTTTTGGTAGGGATGGCGATGATGACGAAGGCGTTGTTGTCCTTGCAGTGCCCGATGGGGAGATTGAGAGTATCGCTTGATATGCTGAGCTGGTGAGTACGTTCTGTGGAGGCACCGCTGAGATTGGCCGAGACGGACTGTCTAGATCGACCCGGTCAAGATCCTCAACATGCGGATGGCTTCGTCTTTGACGCGGCGCGGGTCAACCCTCCAGTTGCGGATAGCGGCGATGAAAAACATCTTGGTCAAAGGCTTTTGGCATGTAGCTGATGAGGTGTTTGACGTGTTGGTTAGTTGAGATCCACTGGATGCTCTGGTGATGTGGTGGTTTCTGGTGAGCTGACGGTGCGAATGTTGCTTCCGAGGAAGATTGTGATGTGAGCAAAGCGAAGGATCATGAACAGGGACAAGTCCCAGACTTGCCATATCCCAACACGTATACTCACGGGCAGCTATTGTGAAGGGTTGCGTCATCGTCTCAGATACTATCGTGAGTTTGTAAGACCCCCACCATTGCCTCCGATTTGTTAGCTTTGCTTCCTTCGGGATGAAGCAGATTGTCCACCAGCTGAACCTATCGTGATCCATTTCAGCGTGTCAAGATGCCTCGAAAGTGCTGCCAAGAGGTTTCTTATCTGTGTTGAACACCTTGGCGGCCGGCTCTCGGTCCCGAAGGTCGATCTGGAGAAGAGACGGAAGGAAGGTGAGGGGTGGCACGTGATGCCGGTGGCTCACGGTGAGCTTCTGCCTGCCTCTTGATTTGAACTCGAGGCATCCGCTCATCGTTGACAGCACTCACTCAGCGCGGATTGCTCATGTGACGATGTGCTCAGTCACCGACAAAAAAAAGTACGCAAAGGATCTGATCAGACCACTTTTCTCAGCCTTATGAGATCCGTATGGATTGCTGATCATGGTTTGGAGTCATGGAATGTTCTGTGTCAAAAGATGGCGGTCAAGAGATTGTGTACGGTAGTCATCTTGGTGGATGTCGCGGGCTGTGTTGGAGTTTCCATAATGTCCGATGGAGACAATGACGGATGGTCAGCACAGACCAGGTGCTGGTGCTAGCGGCATTAACCAATGGATAAGCGTACAACAAATTAAAGTTATCGCCAATGCCAGGAACAGCCAGCAAATAGTGGGGCTTCTCGGAGGGTTTCGGCAAGTAAGTGCGAACAACGAATGCATCCCGAACTTTCAGTTTTGGCAACAACAATTCCATGTTCGTTTGCGATGGAGAAGGAGCTGCCAAGGAACTGACTGATGACTGGACACAACATCTGGTCCTTCCAAGTTCATTGAGTTGAGATGCCCAAGAACACTTCGTTAGTTTAGGCAGCTACCTCGACGTAGTTTGCAGTTGCCATCTCAATCGCAATCAAAGTGCAATCCATCGATTTCCATCTCCTCGTCTTCTCTCATCTGCTCTTCATTCTATTTTCTGTCTGTTTCCATTCTTGTCGCATCTGCATTTCGGATTGGCAGCTTCACTGTGGCGGATGGGTCTTCAAAATTGCTGATCGGAACAAATGGGAAAACAGCGACCGCGCGGTTCTCGCTGCCACAAGAACGCGAGCTCGCTGTTGACTCAGGGGGTTTCGTTCCGTTGCTCCGAGACCTCCCGACTTTCATCTGCCAAATGTCAGGGTAGACAAACCACCACCAACTTGACTACCCTGCAATCTCTCAGAAGTCGAGACGGAGAGCCAAAGGCTCAGCACTCCATGATCATGTGTACCAACATCTTCAACCGTCTCTGCGTCTTTCACAAGAAATCACCCTGACGCTCAACATCACATGGCTCAGCCCTTCCGCGACATCGAAATTATGCCAAGGTCTGAGGCTGAATACAGACAACGCCCAAATGACGATGATCGCCATGCGAGCTTGTCGTCGTCCCGGCACATTCGCATGGGTCATCCCTTTCCCTCCTCCACCCGTTCCACTCCTTCCATAGCACTCCCGAACATCCCGAGTTCCCACTTCAAGCCAACTGTCAAGTGTCGAACGCTGTTGTTCGCTGACGCCTTCACAAGCTTCCATCAATCGACTTTCACATGTTTCAGCGAGCCCGGACTTCTGGAAACGGCCCAGTCACCACTCCCCGAGACACACCAAGATTGTTGACTGTTGATGGTCGGAGGAGATAACCAAGTGGCGGTAGACCAAGGCAGGGAGGCCTGGATCACACTCGCTACTGTGACCCAGACCTCGACACTGTCACAGCCTTGGTTGCCTTGGCACGTATCAACATACTCTTCGACCGCCGCCAACACCGATGACCCTTCCCAGATCTTAGGGCATGTTTCCCGGAATAAACCATCTGATAGGGCTAAGGGATGTCACCTCTAGGCGACACCGGGCAAGGCCCTTCATTGGCGGTATCAGAGGAAATACAGCACTCTAACCGTTCATCTCGTCCTTTCGGGTTTCCACATGCGACCCAGTCTTCATGAATCATATCCCACCCCGGCCTCTTTTCGTTTCCATACACCCTCCGTCACGGCGATCCTCGGCTGTGCCCTATTTTTGTCATAGCTCCATCGCGTCGCGATTCAGATTCAGGTGAATATGGATCTTCAGGGTGTTGGAGCTGTTGTCCAGTGTTTCGGCCCATGGCTCATCTGTATAAAGCTTGTTGCACATCTTCTCCCCTACCTCGCCATGTCCCTTGAGAGCTTGATAGAGTGAGACGTCATCTCAAACACAGTCATTCGTTCTTCTGTCGGAAACTCACAGCATCCGCAACCATGGCTCATCGTCTTCCAGACTGCTCCAAGCTGCGGCTCTTCACCAAGGGCGTGTCTGTTGGCTCGTCCTTCTTCACTCCCGCGCCTCTTGTCGGCTACGCTGCTCTTCGCCATCCTCGCGCCATCTCGACAAGCAACACCTCCAAGAAGCCGGCTGTCGCCATTCCTACCGGCCCCGTCTCTCCTCTCGTTCCTGCAACCCATGTTGGTACTTCTTCGGCTTCAACTTCGGAGGTTAGGGATGGAAATGCCTTTGCCACTCTGCCGCTCACATGGCCCCACGACGGTTGGAAGGAAAACGTTCTCTTGAATGTGGTTCCCAGCCATCGCGAGCCGAGGACTTTCGGTGACTGGGTGGCCTGGAAGATTGTCCGCACATGCAGGTATGTTGAACGTCCAAAAGTTCTGGTCGCTCATTGCTAACCAATGCTCCCCAGGTTCTGGATGGATCTCGTCACAGGCATGCGTCCTGAGCAGCAGGTCGACTCCAAGAATCCCACAACGGCTTTAGCTGCCAGCAAGCCCCTGACTGAGCGCCAATGGGTAGGTTCATCCCCCGACTATTTGACCCCGTGCCATGCTAACGACACCAGCTCGTCCGCTTCATCTTCCTCGAGTCAATTGCTGGTGTTCCTGGCATGGTTGCCGGGGGCTTGCGCCACCTCCAGTCCATTCGCCGTTTCCAGCCGGACCAGGGCTGGATCAAGTCTCTTCTTGAGGAGTCCTACAATGAGAGAATGCACCTCCTCACCTTTCTCGAGATGTACAAGCCCGGCTGGTTCATGAGACTCGTCGTGCTCGGTGCTCAGGGTGTCTTCTACAACGCCATGTTCATCTCGTACCTCCTCTCTCCCAAGATTTGCCACCGCTTCGTCGGCTACCTCGAGGAAGAGGCCGTTCACACTTACACCCGCTGCTTGCTTGAACTTGACCATGGTTGCCTCAAGAGGTGGTCTGACCCCAACTTCCGCATCCCTGACATTGCTGTCCGCTACTGGAATATGCCTGAGGGTCACCGGACCATGAAGGACCTCATCCTCTACGTTAGAGTAAGTTTCGTTAGCACTTCTGCAAGCTCGTTCTATGCTAACATATTACAGGCTGACGAGGCTTCCCACCGTGGCGTCAACCACACATTTGGCAACCTCGACCAGGTCACTGACCCCAACCCCTTCATGGAGTGCCCCGGTGGTGGAGTCGTCAAGGCCTTCCCCAAGCACCTCTCCGTTACAAGGCCGGCTGGTCTGGAGCGTGAGGAGGTCGTCAGCAAGGAGACCCACTAAACACCCAGCGCCACAAATGAAGATATCTTGTTGAAGCCGCAAGGCAACGCACAGCTGTCCCTTCTTCCTCGGCTTGGAGAGGACTCAGTGGACCACCAGCCCCTGTATTTCCTTGTTCCTTCCATCCGGGACCTGGTGGAGTAAGAAGACACTCTCTCAGGATATGCCCAGGTCTTCCTCCTGCTCGATTACGGATTACGGCCACAGACTGGCCCCATTTTGTTAATGTCTTTCACTCTTTTTTCTTTTCTTTTTCTCCTTTGGGTCTTAGATGGAGTTTGGCGATCAATCACGCAATTACGCGAGCATTTACATTTCTTTGGTTTTCACACTTTGGTTTGGGGAAGCTCGGATGCTTCGGATAGACGGAAAGGTGGACAGGGGGGCATTTTGGATAGGGCGCCCCCTTTTTTGGGCAGCTGTGGTTCTAAATACATATGTTGGGTTAGACTCCACTGCAACTAGACTGGACATGATTCATTTCCATGTTACACGCGGACCCCTATCTTGGTGCAGCATTACCTCTACGTACCCTGCTTATCACAGTATTCGGACGTCGTCAGAACTTGAGAATTGGAGAAAAGCATGTCCACTATGTATAGATCTGTCATTGCAACAGGATATCGAACGTTCCACCAACTGCAACTGGAGAACGGTGGAGTTTGATAAGCACAACAGGAGTGGAAAGTTGACGTCAGTGATATCATTTTCCCGGCGTTGATGTCAACAAGGCTTATCGAGTCATCACAACTAGAAGTGTCTTCAAGTTTCCGTGCCGCCGGCTGTTCTCGAGGATGTACCCAGCCACCGAGCCACCGAAGGTCTCATTAGGTATGTACCTTCTTCCCGCGAGATATATCCACGGCAGCTTCCTTTGTACAGCAATCTTATTACACCAGTCGTTGTTCATCAGCATCCTTACCTCTATCTTACAATCGCTAAATCGCTCTTTCAATACGACAAAATGGCCGACGTTACTATAGAGTCGCCGCCGCCCCCTAACGACGCGATTACAGCCCTTGACGACTGGATCAACAACAATTCGGACCGCGATGGCAGCTTGCGTAATCTAACAGCAGACCGGCAGCTCGCCCCGCAGTCTTTGGAGCACAATCCCCGGTTCGTCGCTTTGGCTAACACTGCAAGATGTCTCAGTCGCTACACAATTGACGGACTCCCCAACAAGATTGTCAGTTAAGGAAACGATAGCATATACGTCGTACTCTCCGGTTTCGTAACCGATCTTATCGAGCAAATAGATACGATTTAGTTTAATCAAGTAGTTTTTCAATCATATTCGCTACAAATATGCTGTCAATTCAAGCAACGGTCTCAGTCAAGACCGTAGTATCTACAACCCGCTGGACCGTCTCCCTTCCAAGTCCTTCCAACTCAGCTAGGGCGTTCTTGTCGTCAATTCCAAGAAGGCGCACAACGGCAGACGTCTAGTGCCGATCATAACCGTCAATCACCTCTTTGTGCTGCACGAAAACAAGCTGCACTCTGTGCTTTACAGCACCATTGATCGATCATATCACAAACAACACCTCGACCACTGGCATAGCCACTGCCTCCCTACCTACCTCTACCTAGGTACCTTGAATTTCAGCATGACAGAGACGAGCCTCTGCTTTCTGCTCTTGGCCATTCATCTTCAAAGCCCCAAATCTGAGCTTACTACATCTTTCCAACCTTCGTTCACATACGTCCGTATCCGGCAAATTTCTCTGCTTTACATTTCGTCCCCATCAACCTGCCGACATTATTCGCAACTCTTCTGGTTCAAGCCGGGTGGACTCTCTTTGGACGTGCCCCAAAAGATGTTTGTGCGAAATAAGGCGAAGAAGGAGTCATGGACGAGTTGAAGAAGGATTCGGATCCGGAAGCACACAGCACAGCGGACACAACCTGGAGGGCGAAACGGAATGCGAAATATACCTAACCTAAGGAAGCGAACAGAGGTGCCGTAGGTGCCGTAGGTGCTGAGTGATGTTAAGAGAGAAGAGTATACTCTTCGGACCACTCTTCGTTTACCCAAGGGCATAGATGGGATATACGAAGTAGAAGGATTGGAGCATTTCATTCGTTCGACTCAACGAACGGGAGTTCCCACTCGGTAGGTAATCATCACGATGGGGTACCTTCGGCTTCAATATACCCGGGAGTACGTCCAGATCTGTTTTCGTGGTGGACGGGTTGGAACTTGAGTTGTCATTGATACAGTTGGAAGTTGGGAGTTGGAGGTTGCTGAATGCTGATGGGGAGTCGGGAGTTGAGACCTCGTAGTCTCGGGAGCAAAGGGGCCAGGAACGGTTGGGACGGTAACAGACTGTTGGGCGATTTCCATCAACCGTGCTGGGCGGTGTTGGTGACGGGCTGGCATGGCTGTGGGAGATACTTGACATGTTTAAACGCCGCTGCTACAAGACTTTGGCCGTGAGCAGCAACTGCTGCCTGGAACACATGTTTGGGGGTGTTCGGTGGTTGTGGTTGTGATGCTCAATGTTCCACAGACGCCCGACTTTGTGCTTTCAGCGTGGTGTCCTGCGACCAGCACGGCTGAAGGTCCAGAGTTTTGAGCGCTGGGAAGTTTCGCCAGCAGAGCGAGTCACAGTGGCCTTTTGTGCATGAGAAAGTAGGTGTATTGGAGTCTCACAAAGAGAGTTTTCAGTCGCTTGATTTCGGCCTCGAGGAAGATCAGATGAAGCCTGGCGCGCGCGCGAGAGCGTTGTTGTCCCATGTACGCTAGGTCGAGTCTGAGGTACTGAAGCACGGCTACGGCTAGCTTGGTGATGGCCTGAACGATCCTCAAAGGCCAGCCATGCTTCTTGGGCACGTAACTCCTGGGGATAGTTCCAGCTGGGATGGATTCTGGGACGGTGCAGTTGCAGCTTTTGCGGAGGATGGTCCGCCAGGGACGAACTTTGTTGCTGGCGCCGGAATCGGTGGTGCTTATGCTGCACATGGTGGGCGTAGCAAAGATGGCGAAACAAACAGACCGTACAGATCTCTGTACCCCGGCCCAATAAGTCGTGGAAGGTGTAGTGAGTCTCGTCACGGTTCAGTTGATGTTATTGTCTCCACGACGTTGATGTGAACTCTTGGGCGATCAAGCAGCCTTGGAATTTGAGTGGTATGAAGATTGGGCCACGGTCACTTGGTGCGAATTACGCCGTACCTAGAGGTAGTTGGCGATGCCTCCGAGAAGGGATGTTGCGAGCTTGGGAGGGAGGAAAGTGTCTGCTTGAAGATATTCCATTAGCATGGTCTGATCTTTGCCGGATAAAACAATCGTCGTCCAAATCATATCAGGTCGACAACGGATTATCTCGAGAGATCAATGGCGAAGTGTTTGTCTGAAGCAGCCTCTCACCGATCTCAGCATAGCAGATCTTGTTTGCAGGAACTCAAAACGCTCGAGCTTGAGGCTTGTTGCTTGACGTTGAGAGAGGAAGGCACCTCCAAAATGGATGGGGGGCTGGGCCCTTCACCCTGACGTTCAAGATTCCACCAGCGACAAAGGAGGGTTATGGCACAAGGTCCTTTCGGTCTTCTCTATTCCATCCTCACCAGACGGAAACAGTCGACTTCCACGACAACACGTCCCGCGAGACCAAGAGCGCAATGTCTCAGGAAGATCCCTCTCCCCCCGGCCCAGCCGTTCGTTCAATTCTTTTCTCTTCAGCATCGTTCACATCATCTTTGCCATCAGTCTTTTCACCACCACGATCACCACCATGATCGAAACATTTCTTTCGTTTTTCAAAAGCCACCCATATGTTTTGGTTTGGTTTGCGGTGTTCGCCATCACATGGGAGAACCATGTTATTACATGGTCCATAGAGGGATGAACACTCCGCTGCGCCTGCCGAACGGCACGATGACTTACCCGTCGTCCAACATACCGCCTCAGTCATCACTGCACTTTCCAGGTACCTCTAGAGATATGTTCTGTCCCAGTCCCTTTCTTCCCTCAAGTTTCTCTGGCAATAATGTCTATACCTCTGCAGGCAAGAGGGCAAGCCTTAGTAGTTCTTCAGCTCTCTTGGCGCCCACAACGATGCGTTGTTTTCCCCAGTGCTCGGCCTCAGATGCAGTTGTTGCGAGGACCGTCGCGGTAATTTGTGGTAAGAACCTCATCGAGCTGACTGCTTCAAGCCTGCTACATCGTCCGTCCTCATCGTGCCAGGCTTGTGCCTGCCTCTACTGCGACGGGAGTCATAACGAATGGCTAACACAGAAGGAGTCAGGGAAGGAGTCACTCTGAAGGATAAGTCAGTTGGATGTTTGGGAGCCCGGTTGGGCACGAGAGGATGTGTATATAAACGCAGGACCCCCAGTATTTGGGAAAGAATGGAAAAAACTCAAATACCTCTTGCCGCTCATCAGGCCCTACCGACCTACCTAGTACCTACTAGGTCCCTATCGTTGCGAGACGTGTAAGATTTCGTTTAACTTCGCCGGAAATTTGGGAAAGGACTGAAAGACTGCCGATACGTCCCGCTCAAAACACAAGATGGCGAGTTAACGTGGTGGTGTGATATGTGCGACATTGGGTGGGTGGATGAGTACGGTCTCATCCGGAGAAGCAAAGGTTCGTCCAGGGGAACGATTGTTCCCTTCACTCAACATTACCGGTCGCCAATACCCACTCCCATTTTCCGTTACAGTACAATATCCTTTACCTTCAAGTGCACTCCGTTATATAGAACCCTGTTTCTCCGTTTGTTCATACTTCCCTTCTTTCCATTACCCAACACAAGGACACGCGGATAGATCTACCACTACTCCTCATCCTTCGCTATCGCCAACTTCTTCAATACTGCTTCAGGCAAATCACCAAGAATCTCCTACAAACAATACCTGAGCATCCAGGGCAGTCATCGTCAACAATCCAGCAAGATGAACCAACAAACCCCTTCTCAGAGCACCTCGCCTGCCCCTCCCTCCTCCTCTCCGGCAATGACATCGGCGTCGCCTGACCTGCTGCTTTGCCAGACGTTCTATAGAACCAAGAACCCCGTCGTCTTTGACCGCGACGCCGACACAATTATTCTGGTCGGAGACACCTCGCCTGGCGTCGTTGAACCCCCTCAACGCCTCTTCCAGATCCGCTCTTTCCATCTGTTCCTCAACTCCTCATTCTACAAGCGCCTCTTCAGCGAGGGTTGCATCAACAACATCCCTCGCACCGAAGATCACTTGAGGCACTTCAAGATTACCCTTTCCGACGTCGACCCCGAGGCCCTCTTCTTGACACTCCGCGCCTGCCACACCGGCAAAGTGTCCATCCGCCCGTCGACGCCAAACATCCTCGACCTCGTGTTCCGGATTGCAAAGACGGCACACGATTTGGAGTTCGACATCGGCATTGCGGATCCATCTTCCGACACAGCCACGCTGTCGCAGGCTGCGCAAGGATGGCTTTCGGAACAAAGGGACGATCTTGATGTTGTGGGAAACAATCTGGTAGATCGATGGAAGCTGGTCAAGGCGGCATTTTACTTTGGCCAACTGAGTACCTTCACGCAGCTGAGCGTTCACTTGGTCAGAAGGCTACCGGAGCACTTCTGGGTGCATCTGGCAGGAGACATCCACCGTGGCGTCAACACGCACTACCAGAACCAGGTGTCTAGAGAGGAGATGGCCATCATTGGTAAGCCCAACCCACTTATCGACTCCCCTCTCCCCCCCTTCCACCAAGCCACAGTAATCACTGACACTTCAATTTCAAACCAGATGACCTGAACGACTTCCCCTCCCCAGCCGTCCGCCTCCTCTTCCTCTTCTACCACATCCTCTATCGCGACGCAGCCTTCCCACCCTTCCGTGCTTCAATCCCTCATGTCTCCCAGATTCCAGCCAGGATCACGCGCTCCTGGTCCGACCAGGCAAGGGCCGCGTGGGACACCCGAGTACAAGAGTCCTCGGTCTGCACTTGCCCCTGGCTTCCACAGTACTACGAGTCCTGGACGAGAGGTCTGGAACTCCACTGTCTGGACCTATTCACCAAAGCCTTTGCGGGGGACGAAAGCCGCTGCATAACTCTCCTCTTCAAGACCATAGCGTGGGCACTGCGTCGTGGCGTGATAGCTAAGCCGTGGGATAGTTGCGAGGTGGGGGTGGAGCCAGAGTGTGGTTTGGTTGGCGGACGAGCGGGTCATGAGGAGAAGGCGAGGGAGTTAGTGAAAGAGCTGAGGAGTTGTTTGGATGTTTGGAAGGCGGATCTTGAGAGGGATACGGTTGGGGGTTCTGATGTGGAAGACTCCGACGATGAGGATTCCGACAGGCATCCTGGCGCTGAGAGGTACACCGGAATCAGGTACCACGAGGTTGAGGGCCCAAGAGCCCAGTACCCCCACCCCTCGTACTCGCTCCCGTAGGAGAACTTCAACTTTGAGCCCCCCGACTTTCAAGACCGCGACATTGAGGACTTTCAGCTACCATGAGGATTCCGACCAAGGTGTAGGAGAGCCACTGGACAGTCGTCAAGAAAGAGTTGGGTGGTGACGAGGTGAAGGTGGCGATCGACCTTGGGGAGAAAACGCCAGACAAAAGCCTTCTTTGACGTGCAACAAAGGCCGTCTTTATGCCTTGGTACAATCTGGGAGAGGCGTCACTTCTGTTGTGACAAACCTCGCTCGAGAAGCACAATGTCCAAGATACAGCCCAGCTGGCGGACACCGGGGCAGACCTGGCAGCCACCACACCAAATCCAGCAAAGACCCCGCTTCGTCTCCAGCTCTCGAGCCTTTGAAGCCAGTCCGAATTCGAGATGGACAATACCGACTTTTCAAAGACCGTTGGAAAGAGTCTTCGAAGTCTTTACTCCCCCAGGGCAGACATTGCGGCCTTGACAACCTCAGCGGTGGCGGTGATGGCTTCTCCCGCGGCAGCGGTGGTGGTTTCAGCAGAAATTGGAACAAAAGACGGAAGCTGGCAACATCATGAAAATCGACAAGATCCAATTGGGTGTCCATCCCTTTAATTCCGCCATGCAGTACACCATCAGCACTTCTCGACTCAGCTGAGCACTCTTCAGCCACATCGAACTCTTCAACCCCACTTCTCTTTCTTTTGAACAACCGGCAACACCAACGCTTAAATACAGGTGTACTCCTTGTTCAACTCCAAATTCTATACTGGGGACAGGGGGTGGGGGATACCGGAGTAAATAGGACAGCTTGGGCCGGACAACACGGTCCCAACGTTCAGGCGAAACCCCCACAGATGGGCAGCGCAACTTTTCAGCAGCTGCAGGGATCATGATATGTTACATGGAAACAAGAAAACTCATACAAAAGGAGAGAATCTGTTGCTGGAGGCGAGGAGGTATTTTGCTTATGTATGTCTAGACCTTTGACCATGGAGGGAAGAGGTAGAGCTTGACATAGAGAAACCAAGAAGCAAAGAAGGGAAATGGAACCTACCTCTAGGCATTTGCTCCAGCCAGTCGAAGCACTTTCAATCTTCCTGCGCTTGTTCCGGTCTATGGTACCCGTCATTGTCGTTCACTGTCTCTTTGAGCCTCTCCTCTGAATCGGCGTATGTGACCTTTTCCTGTGTCCCGTCTTTACAATCGTAGCAGCATTCGCGATCTTGGCCGCGTCGATGTCCATGTCGTCAAGGCACAACTCGCCAAACTCAACTCGATGGGTCTCTTTGTGTTCTCGGCCAGCTGGAGAGGAGTCGTGAAGCTCGTGTCAGAGTGGATGAGGCTCTGGGCTCAGAGACTGCAGAGTACAAGGCCTGGGCAGGGGATGAGACGTGGACTCGAGGTTGTAGAGGAGGCGGCGGTGCAAGAACAAGAAAAGAGCACGGTAGATAGAGGTAGAGGTAGGAGACATAAGGAGAAGAAAGGTCATCCAGCTGTACCCTAGGCAGGTTGTCATAAACAGAGGATGCGTTCGATTGTAACGAGCCTGAATGCGTGGAGTCATATGGTAGACCATGAGCTGAAAGATGAAGCGAAGGGAACCTACATGAAGTAACAATGTCGTCTCCTCGATCCCGGTTTTGGACCACAGGCAGATTCTGCAGCACTCGTCCGCATTAAGGTTGTATTCGGAGCCGCTGTATTGCTGTAGGGAAAACCCAGTTTTGGTGGCTATAAGACTGCACCTTACAGCTACACTTTTCTCATTCGGTTCGATTTCAGTAAAAATCTGCAAGTTGCTACAACCACCTATACTTACCCCAAATCCTCCATCTGACTAATCAGAAGGCCAAGATCCTTACCGCGATATACTAGATTTCTAATATTTTTAAAGGACCTTAACCCCATATTTAAAGCTGCAAGAAGCAGCAACTTTGAGGCACCTCAGCGCTTATACCCACTATAAGCCCCCTATAAGCCCCCTATAAGTATAGGACTCCAATTTCTTACAGCCTAAGATTAACGAACACAAAGCAGTAAGAAGAGCCTTAACTATTACATTACTATACAGGGAGTATAGCTGCGGACCATGTACGGTAATGCAACGTTATCTCTAAAGCTCTACAGCGGCTCCGAACACAACCTAACGTCTCCGGCGTTGCAGATTAACCCGGCTTTGCATAGATGTAGATGTGTGTCAACCGCAAGCAGATTTGGACAGCAGAAGCACGGCGGGTTTGCTGCAACGCACAATGCATTTGCAGCAAAGAGTCAATGCGCCTGTTCAAGGTGAAGTTGTACCTATCTCTACGTTAGGTCGCCAAAACACATCGCTGATATGCACTTTGAAAGCGCTGTAACGCCCACCACGAACTCCTTCAGCCTGATGAAGACATTCAAACTTTTGCAAAGGTACAGGCTGGGTTCACTTGTTTGAAGAAACTCCAAGGCGTTTAGAGAACAAGTTATACGGCCATGAGATAAATCTCTCTGTGAAAATGGACGTTGTTGTTTGGAGGTTTGAGGCTCTGTCACGAGAGTGAGCGGGAAAGAGAGAGTGGGGTGTCACCCATGGCACTTAGATGCTTCATTATCTGCGCTTGCAGGAAACTAGGGCGAACTGCGATAGTGAAGTAACAGCGCTGCATCCTGTATGGTACTTGCCTGTTTTGCCGGTCCCACCAGCTTACGACGTCGGCGCCACTTTTGACTTCATGGAACTGGTCCTCCCAATTTCGAGTCATGGCGACAGCGACGATCGACAGACGACATCAACGTGCTCAGCTGAATAAGACAATCCCATATCTGAAGATCACGCGCTGAGCACTTTTGAGCAACGACCCAACGTCATGACTCATAACTCGATGCAGAAGTATCGCGCATTCCATGACACACCCCATCACCAGGGCAGACACCAACAATCATGCGTTCACAATGGAACACATTTTGTTTTATCGTTTTTTTTTTTGTTCTTTTCTATCTCTAATTACAAGCCACCACCACCACCCATCCAGTCCCGCCGACGGACTCCCCGGCTCCATCCCCGGATGCCCAGGACGTACCCGGACAGTCCAGCGACGGAGATCGTGTTCCTAGAGAGTCCTCCGACGGAACTGGATGATTGACAAATCTTCCTGCTCCTTGTCATTCAAGAGCAAACGCTGCTGGAACCGTTAAGTTCGCGCTCTCTCAGCAGAGCCTCCGGCTCCCTCTTACAGATGTGGACAAGGACGTGCACATTGGTGTGCTCAGGGCTGCGCCGTTCTTCCCCCGGGTCGGAGCGGGGGGCACCGCCGACAATGTCGGGAATAATTTTGACGTTCTGGACATGGCCAGTAGTCTCGAAAATCTGTCTCAAGACGTCCTCGATGACGACCCTAGGGTCAAGGCCGCCAACGTAGAGAGCGCGCTTGTTCGGCTCGGGGGCGGCGCCCCGGCCGAAGCCCATCACAGGGGGACGATGAGAACCCATGCTCGAGTTGCCGATGAACCCGTGTTCGCTCAGGTTGCTGATGACAAGGCGACCGATGACGTCCCGCGGATGAAGGTAGCCCCTGCTGCGACGGTCGAGGTGTACTACGCAAGTAGGGCGAAGACTGATCCCACCGAGGGTGAGGCAAGGAAAGTCGCCGCAGTTGTAGCACTTGGAGCCGTTGACGCAGTCACCTATGGAACTGTGGTTAGCTTCCGTTGATTGGAGAGAAATGGAAGACATCAGGTGAACTCACGAGATTGGACTCGTTGCGAGGGAGTCGGCGGCCGATGACAAGGTCGTTGACGAACTCCAGCGAGCGGTTTCCTCTGTTGCTGCACCTCCAGAATCCCAACTGGAACATGTGAGCTGACGATCAAGAAGTGAGATGAGATATGACATGAACCTACTGGTATGCTTTTGTGGCTACAGGAGGGACCATTGTAGCGTCCCCGTCGGTGGTCCCAGTCACGGGCCTGATGGGGTACTGGGCCACTGTTGATGGTCAGTAGAGGTACATGAGTTGAAGGCAAGGTGAAGACGACCGAAACATAAAATATTACTTACCCGACGGGACGCCGTACGGCGTTGGGGTTCGGTGGAGGGAAGATTCTTGTCAAGCCATGGTACTGATGACCTTAGGAACGAGACGTTAGTCGACATAAGACGATGGAGAAGTGAGACCATGAAAATGGATGAACGAGGATCAAAATGACAGCGAGGAAAGTCTTGATCGGCCTGGTTCAAGATCAAAAGAAGGGAAAAGAAGACGAAGAGCAGTATACGTACATCTTGAGGCTGTGGCCTTTCCCTCGCGGGTGCTTTGGCTTCAGCCATGGGAGGCTGCCCCCCTAGGGCAGGTCGGGGGAGGTTTGTGTTGGTGAGATATGAATCAAGAGAAAAAGAGAAGAAGAGGGAGAAAGGAAGAGGGGAGAGTTTAAAAGGCTGTGACCTGTGGGAGAAAAGAAAAGAAGAGTGTGTGGGGTTGCTAGGAGGGCAAATCAGGGTGGAGCCCTGCCTGCAGGACTGCATGAAGGAAGAAGTGACTTTGGTACTTCTGGTGTCACCTGGCTGTGCGAGATGGCCGGAGCAAACCAGATGACGCCAGCCCTAGTTTTGATCAGACGATTTGAGGACTTCTGTCTTGATCGACTGCACAGTATGCCTTCATGGGGGTACGAGAACTGGCTTGGGATGATCAAGGCGAGCAAGTTGTTGAAAAGTTGTTTGCTTTCGAGATAGGATGACAAGAAAGAGGCAGGCCAGACCATTTCCTTGAGATATACCGAGGTGAGGATCGAATTTGAAGGAATCCAAAAGCCTTGTTGTTCAGACGTGTCGACGCTCCTAGCCTCAAGGACCCCTGTGTGGGTCTGTGGCACGCCCCAACACCGGGAGTAGCTAGAGAATTGTCCCAGTTGAGGCTGAGCTTGTTGTAATTTGAAGGAAGACAGATGTAGTAGGGACATCACGATTGATTCTGAAGCTACACTGAATACAGCCTGTCAATTTGTTGACCGTGGGCTATTCCACTTGTAGAGGCAGCGCTTGATAATGTGACTTCCAGTTGTAGCGAGAATCTCGATTTGGTAGCAGAGGTACCTCTAGTACCGGGTAACTGCGTGAGGGTGAGTGAGAGAGCAGGGATGGGGTCAGATGCTTGAACGGTCGCCAGCGAGTTTACCGAGCACTCGTGATCGGTGGCAGCAACCTTGTTCCTGAACAGTGACCCTCCAGGTTATCTTGTCTACCTGGTTCCTGTCGTCAACCTTTGACCTTGTTCCAAACGCGAAGTGATACCTCTACAACTTACTTGCGGCAAGGAATCTTTATCAACCCAAGAAGACTCCTCCAAGACAATCAACAACCAAAACTCCACTTCGCATACCAGACTCGTCATCATGAAGTTCTTGACTTTTCTTTCCTTTGCGGATGTTGTCCAAATCTCCACTTGGGACAGAGCCTTACAAGCGGTTCTTAAACTCCAGATCGATACTCCCCAAACCTTGCGGATCCGCCGCGACCGCTTCTCAGCAAGCACAAGACAGCGCAACCTTGTAACCACGCGCCACCTCCACGACGCCCTTTCTGAAGTCTCCAAGGAGTCTTCGCTTCTCAGAGCAATCCAGATCGCGAGGGACTCCCAAAAGAGCAGTGCCTACGATAAATCCCACGACCAAGAGACCCCCTGATCACCTCGCGCGCTGGGAAACTTCATCTTCAACCCCACTTCAAGGTAAGCCAGGAACCTCCATAAAATCACTTTGTTGTCTATTGCGCATATTGTGCCTGTTCTTTCTGGTTCTGGAAGCGGACCTTCAGTGGCCAGACAACAAAAAGCGGGCAGACATGAAGTACGATCGCGACCTGGTGGCCACACAATGTCAACTACCTCTATAGGAACGAACTCCATAACTAACCCCTTGTGTTACAGTGTTTCCGTGGATTTCTCGCCGGATACTGGGCGCAGTACGTCGCTGACTATGGAAGAGACGTGCAAGACGAAGGCAGGATGGCTCAAGCACGAAGCGTTCGTGATGAAAGCAGCAACAAGGGCTCGAGGAAAGAAGAAGCGCTCGACTGTTTGGCAAGACTCAAGGACATTACACATGGGATTATGGACATAAGGTCAATTGAAGGTACATTGAGAGATTGTCAAAAGGAACATTTCGGCACGGTTGATTGGAAGAATCGCTTTATTCGAGGCACGAATCGGTCGGCAATGGGAGGTCAAAGGAGATTTCGGTAAGGGCGTCAACAAAGGACAAGTCACATTTGCAGTAAACATGACAATGAAGGTAATACGTTGAATATTGATGGATTAACGACTCAGAAGAGTCAAAAGAACGTATTCGAGTATTGATTGCAAATTTTATGGTGTTGTACTGACCGAGTGTCCTGGGTAACTTGGGCCTGCCCCGCACCATCGCGGGCCATAGACTGATATCGCGCACACATTTCCTCCAGTTTTCTCGCCGCACACAGTAAGAACATGCACTTTCAGAAGTAAATAGTCCATTTCAGATAGATTATTGCTTTATGGATGGAGGTAGTGATTGAATGTCCAGGCGAGACCTGTGGTTCGCCAGATTCGCCATCTGTGGACTGGGGGAGACCACTCCCACTTCATGGACAATGACTTTGAAGCAGCTATCAAATCAGGTCTGAAACTCGATCGCTCGTCTATGGTATCCAGGTTATAGCAGATTGAAAGAGTGATATACACGCAGGAGTTCGTGATTCTTGACCGAATTTACAGGGCAGGTTTCCATCAAGAAAAAGCAATCAGAAGAAGAAGGAACTTTCAGATCTTGAAAAACATTATCGACACACACAGGGTGTATACATGGTTGATCTATGCTGTCTTGATATCCTGGTATATCAAGAGACAACAAAACGCTGCTTGTGGTGGTGATGATCGAGTGTCTGCGGAGGGTCCCGCGCCACCCTCGGCGATTTGGGTGCTGCATTTTTTCGCATTCTGAACGCACAGTTTGGAACCAAACGTGAGAAGGCTTTAGAGATACGTGAAGTTCTCTATAGAGAGCCCTGAAGAGATGTTTATCTCGTTTTCGTGGTGTTATGCACGCTTTCTAACGAGCTGGAAGCCTGGCGTCGCGGTCGCAGTTGGCCAGGAAGGACCACCGCTTTCTCGCATTTTCACACGAAGAAGGGGCAGTCACAACAGGGAAAAAAAAACAACGGCTTTTGCCTCAGTTGTATAAAGCGCGCTGTCTTCAATGTCCAGCACTCCGGGTAGATTTTCTGTCCCGCCATGAAGTTCACATGATCGATCACGATGCCGTTCGCGATCGCTTCTTGACTGTCAAGTGAGCCCCGTAGGTAGAAACGAACACGAGAAGTCACGGCAGCGCAGATGGTCGAACAACGAATGTAGCAGCTGGTTCACAACACTCAGACTCATCTGCTTCCACTTCTTATTTTCTGATGCTCTCTTTGGCAATCTCGTAGACCCGACCAAGGTACTGGCCAGCCTGGTGATCTTCCACTGCTCCTTCCAGATGCCACATCTCAACAAACATCGAATTGCTCTCAGATATCTCCCATAACTGCATCGCCTGTCTCAGTACCTCGTCACCCCATGCTCTTACCCAGGGCAGGTACTCTCTAGATGATCCTCTTTTCGTTTCCTTCCCCCTCACTTCTAGCCTCCTCTCCCCACCTCAGGTACATTGGTACTTCGTCTCGATCAGCTCTCTCGCCCACCTACCATCCCATCGGTCCCGAGCGCACACAAGGATCCACTCTGGCTACCGCTACTTCTATTGTGAGCTGTGGTCTCGTCCTGTTTGCAGCCTGATTTTGACGGAGCACAATCTCCGAGGATGTGAGGAGGTTTGAAATGAATATGACTGTGATTCCCGAGGATAACCGCGTCGAAGTGTCAAACGCAAAGGCCGGGGTCTCAAGTGGTGCGGACTTGGTTACCTCTAGCTTTTTCAGTCTTCCTGCTGTCGAGGAAATGAAGACCTTCATCTTCTAGGTAATTTGATCTTCTCATGGGACCATTTGTCATCCCAGAGACAATCTGGACGAGAGAAGGAAGGGACGAATGGGCAGCACACAACCCTTCATGTAGCAAGCAAACTTCTCTCCACGGCGTTATGATCTGATTCCACGACTGGCTGCCCGCCAAACACAAGCTTCTTGATAAGAACTCATCTTGGGGCGAAATACGGTTCCCGGTGTCATCCAAACTGTGAGAGCTTCAGTACCTCTGCAGTAGAAAACCAATACAAACCCATTCTATCCCAGAACCCAAAAAACACCTTGACAGCCTCGCAGACTCGAAGCGGCCTGGAATATGCACCTTCCCAACCCAGACCGGTGGGGTACTCAGCAGAAGTCACCCGTTTGGTCATGAGGAGGGGTTGAGGAAGAAAATAACGGGATGAACTGTCCTTCTTCTATTGTCGAGCTCCTTCCATCGACTCATTCATCTCTTTCTGAGCTCTGATTCGACAAACGGGATGGCATTATCTGCATGGCCTCCATCTCGATGCTATTGAGAGGCTCGTGGGACGTATTCTGTGCCGTCTGGAAGTCAAAAAGATCGAACGATGGGAGTCTGGACTGCAGTACGTGACCAAAGTACCAGTGCCCAGCCTCCTTCCTCCACCGTGATTGCCTGATAAAGCCCCAGGGCTATTGACTCATTGACAGTTGATTGGTCTTAATGGGTCAAGAACCTCGATAGCCTCTTGCCTCGTCTTGTCCGAGTGACGTAGCCCGTCTGCTTCGCAATCTTAAATCTCGGCTCAACAGAGCTCCTCCGCCGGTCCTGCCTGTGGGTCGGAGAGTTTTGTGCATGTCCCAGTCGGCTATAACGCTGTGCCTTTCACCAAATCCCCGCCCCAAGAACCCCTCAACTCTCGGGACGATTCTTTTCCTCGCAGTTCACATTTGGCACGCAGAGTTGAGAACATTTGTGGCTTGCTTTCTCGTCCCATCTTCGTCGTTTCGCTTTCTTTCCCCTGACGCACAGCTATGTGGCTCAACAGACGGTGCCTCTTTCGAGTTCTGGGGCAAGTGGTCCTCCCAGAGGGCTATAAGAACCCCCCTCCCCTCCTCTCTTTTCCTCCTTCAACTTCTTCCCCCATTCAACTTTCTTCCCACGACAATTTTCTTCTCGCTCAAGCTTCTCGGCTCCGTCTTCGCGGGCTCTCAAGGCACAGCATAGCCATGCACAAATCATCGGCTTCACTGTCATCAATAGTAAGTTGACAATCTCTTCTTTCACCGACGCATATCTATTTCCCTGATGATGATGGCACTCAACCGTTACCGAGTACATATCTCGGCGGTTCTCATGGCCTCGCACCTAGCTCGTGAAGCTAGTGTGTGGAAGGCATGAAGATACACTTGCCATCGCGGGGCTTCGGCCTTCCCACAGTGCCTTTCCCTTATCCTCACTTCACCATGCCGTCACTACACTCGACATCTCTCCAAACTGTCACTCAAAGTTTTCTTTTTTGCGCAAATAACGCGCTATGTCTTGCTTTTCACCCCCTCCTTTGTTGTCACTTTACTGGGACCGCATGGCATTCTGAGAGGAACACACTTACATTTTTTTTTCCTTGCGCTCTACATGACTTCAGTCTGCTAACAGCTCGAGATGTACAGCTACCGGTCAACGACATGAGCATCGGCTCCATCAGCCCTGGGAAGTACAAGGCACCAGGTATGGCATACTCGATCATTTCACCTTGTGTCTACCACCACTAACCTATGTCACAGAACAATCACTCCAGCTGTGTCGGGGCACATTGCACATCGCTGCTGCCCCTTGACTCACTGCGCGAGTTCAAGGCCGTTCGTCGGTCATCTTCATGTTCTCAGGCTTGATCAGTTCACGTTCACCCGCCGGCCTTCATCACTCTGGCTCACCGAACTGAGCCTTGGCACATTTCACACAACACAAGTCTGGACATGGACTTGCTCTTTCAGCTCCATGTCTCAGCATCTCCTGGCAATGTCACAACTTGCAAATCATCAAGGATCAGCTGTATATCCACCATAGCAGCCGCCTCAGCAGCACCCACAGCACCATCATATCACTGCTCATGGTTTCGGCCATGGACACAATCTCCATCCCATCATCGGCCAAGAAAAAACAATCATCACACCTTTCCAATGAGCCAGATGGAGTCCTCGGTCTTCTTTCAGTTCAAGTTCAACAGCCCACCGGTGTGGAATATGACAGAACTGGCATCTCTCCGTCTTCATCTTCTTCACGGAGGCGATCGCGCTTCGGTGGCACACCTTCTCTCTCAGTGAATCACTGAAAGTGGGTTGTATTCATTCACAAGCCACAGCCTTCTCGGCCATACACCATTCCAGAGCGCTTCTGTGCAGCAGTAAAGGCCTGCCCAGTCACTGGTTCAACCCACATTATGCCAGACTGCCGTGGACTTGCCGAAAGAGGAGCGGAGGAGACAGAATATGAGGGTCGTTTTCAAAAGTCACAACCAGCCGCAAGTCTCTCTTCCATCAGACATCAGCTCTTCCCACCACGTCTGGTATCCCCACCGTCTTCGAGAACCACGTCCTGGGCATGACGTTAAACTGCCTACAGTGGTCATTTCCAGAGACCACCATGTCCACCATCCAAGGACACAACCACCACAACAACAACCGCACCCCGCATCAACAGCCTACCCAACAGCCGTCCGGTCCACCAGGGCCTCATCCCAACCCGTGGATTTCGCAGACAACCCCTGAGAAATCTACTCAGCATTCTTCCTCTGCCCAGCCGCAAGCTCAAGGCCCGAAACTTCTGGCCCCTTTCATCAGGGGGTCAGCAAGTGGGCAGCCTCTGCGAGCTGGGCTTGGGACCGCGACGGCTGTGGCTCCGGTCCACCAGGCACCCATGCCAGTTTCGGTGTCTTAACTTCGTCAGTCGACACTGATCCGACCCATCCTCACCACATGACACTCAACTTGCGATTGTGGTCGCCCAGCCTGCGAGCTTAAGGCCCCCAAGCAGCTCTCCAATCAACTTGGGTAAGAGTCTGCGGGCAGCGACCGCAGGTTGGGCTTGGGACCGGAGGTGGGCATTTAGATGTTGTGTTGTGGTGGTTGTGTTTTCCGGTCCACGGGCGTTGCCCGTGTGATTGTCGTCCCGGCGACATTGGGGTGCCCGCTTGATTGGGGTGGCCGTAGCATTGCGTGCAAGAGGAAGAGGGGGCGCGATCCACGATGCGGAATTGTGGAATATGCATGGTGGAGGGGGTGGAGGCCGACAAAATCGTTAAGAATTGGGAGAAGGGAGGGGAGGGGGGAGGGGGAGAAGTTCGAGGGGGAGGGCAAGAGGAGAGGGGGAGGAGAAGTTCGAGGGGGGAGGGCGAGGAGGAAGAGGAGAAGCACGGGGTCTGTGTGTGTGGTGGGCGTGGAAGTGGTGGTGGTGGTGGTGGTGGTGTTGGACATTCCTTTGGTCTTGGTGGTTTGCTTTGCGGGCGGTAGCATGGCTCCTTCGCTGCTCCCCAAGCGGTGGGTGAATGTGTCTGAGTAATGTAGCGGGGGTGCGGACGACGGAATGTCCGCTGTCCGGGCCCTGAAGTAGGTACCTTCAAGACAAGGGGCGTACAAGATACTTCAGGGCCCGGACACCCCATTTGTCTCCTTTTTGGATAGGTGGTTTGGTCATTTGGTTGCGAACTTGGGTTGGTCATTTGGTTGAGAATTTGGGTTGAACATTTGGTTGGGAATTTGGGTTGGTCATTTGACTGGGGGTGTTCTGTCGAGAGGTGCTTTGGATATGCGTTTTGGATATTGGGTTGAACATATGGCTGGACATTTGGTTGAGCATTTGGTTGGAGATTTGGGTAGGTGGACAAGTGCTTCAGATGCGTGCTTTGGACAGCAGCGTTGGTTAGGGGCTTTGGATGAATGTTTTGGATAGAAGGCATAGCGTGGTTGCATTGGTGGCGTTGTGGTTTTGCTTGGAAAGGCGGTTTCGGCGATGGCATAGAATGGAGTTGGATTGGATGGCTTTGGACATGCACCTTGGATATGGGCTTTGGAATGGTAGTATAGTGGCAGCATAGTTTGACATTTAATCATTTGGATACTTCCGTTGTGCCTCATCATGCTTGTGGTGACCATGCTATGTGTCTCTCACTTGGCAAGTGTCTGTGGTGGTACTGATCCGTATGGTGTTTGCTAGAGGTATCCTGTGCCTGATTGTGTTTGAGCTTTTCACAAATCTTGACGATGACGGCTCTCAATCGCTGGACTGGTATCATTACTTGGCTCAGTCTTGATGATTGGGCGAAAGTACCTCTACACAGATCCAAAGCAAGAGGATGTCTTCTCGTTCAAAAAAGTGCCAGTTCATGATATGACCTCGAGGCACCGGTGTGAAGACAGAACTCGCTAGGCTTGTCTGTTGGAATAGTAACAATAGAAAGGCTTTACCGTAAACGAAGCGTTGCATGCCCCTGATTTTAGCCGGAGAAGAAAGAAACCGTGAAGTAGACGTGCTCTTGTGAAGCGAAGAAGACGGGAGGATGTGATAAGCGCGATAGACCCGATTTTGCCTAGGTAGGTAGGTAGGTACTCTCCGGGAGCGCTAAGAAAGATAGCAGATGATGATCCGTCATCATCATCATTAGGGTATTTTCGAGGACATATATCAAGTACCTCTAAGTACGGTATGAAGAGTGTTGGTGCGGAGGACCATGAACAACGTTTTCCATCGGGGAGGATGGATACAAGCAGGGATTGATCTGCTTACCTACCTAGTGCACGGAAGGATGACACAACGGGAACATCAGGTATCACAGATATCTAGAGGTACCACACACAAGTTGTTGACTTGCGTTGAATGAATGGAAGAGTAGAAGTAGAAGTAGGTATATCAGACTACCGCTAGGTACATAGATAACACTTGCACGCCCCTGTAAATCTGCACTCTTATGGATGGATAGGTATTCACGATGGGAATGGACTTCTGCCACTTAGCAGTGAGCGATGTAAGTCCGTCACATATCCTCGCTTTTGCTCTGTGTAAGTTGCTTTTATTCGTCTGTGCGCAGCCGTCTTGGAACTTTGAACTCGAAGGCCTCTAGAGGAATCTGGAAGTGGAAATGGCAGTGGAAGTGAAAGTGCAAGTTACTTTACCTCTCACTAGGTAGGTGCTGCTAACATGATCAAACAGTTCATATCATGGCTCTTATTCTGCTGCTGTGGTACAGTAGAGTACAAGCTTGATGCTTGATCCTCGCTGCTCAATGAATTAGCAGAGTTTGGAGTCTGAGGACGTTCTTGTGGCTCCTCTAGCTCCTTTGAGGTACCTACCTCTAGGAAGTTGGGACTAGGTTGGGAGCTGGGAGTTGGGAAGCCCCTGAATGGGAACGAACCTACCTACCTAAGTGGAGATTGAATGGAGTTCAGTGAGTCTTACCTCTAACGCTTCAGAGTTCGTAGAGTCCGTGGAGTCAGGGCAGTCAGTCGTGGAGTCATGAGGGTTGGAGTTCGTGGAGCCGTGAATGTGGTGGAGTAAGTCAGTCGTCTGTCTGTCTGTCTGTGTCACTCTGGTTCGCTGCACGGTTGCTGGTTGCCATGTTGGTGCTGTGTGGTCCGTTTTCTTATGCCCGCCGGCCAGTAGAACTAGTGTAGTGTGCATTACCGGGGTCTGACTGGTTGTTGTTGATGCCAAGTCCTACCCCCTTCCTCCCCTGCCGTGCATAGAGGTACCCGTACCTTATCCCCTTGCTCTGGAATAAATTGGACGGTGTATGGAATGAAGATGGAAGGAATGAAAAGAATGGCATGATGGCATGATGATGGTAATCGGTGAGATAGAGGTAGCAGCATAGCTGCATAATTGTGAATGTCCTAGGGGTAGCCACATGGTTAGCGTGGTTAGCGTCGTTAGCGCTGCGGATTTTCCCCCTTGGTGGTGTTGTTAGTGTAGGTAGTGGATGAGGATTTCCGGCATTTCAACATGGAATTCCAATCCAACGGTTCCCCTTCCGTTGTTCTTCGGTGTGTTCATCAAAAAGTTTTGAGGATGGGAACGCATGCCATTGAACCCTTCCCGCCAAAGCCATGGCCCGATGGGCGGGCAACAGGCGGCGGCTGAATGCCCCCCCCCCCCCCCCCTCCCCCCCTGGACCTGGTCCTGGTCGGTAGCATGAGCATGAATACCTCTAAACAGGCACGACAACTGGAGACAATTCCTCTCACCGATCTCACCGATCAAGTCCAAACTCATGCCATGGTCTCCGCCTCGATGGGAGAATTCCCCGTCGACTTTTCCACTTTCAACTCATAATCCGGAGTTTTTACCTTTTAGCTTCCCGCTCATTGCCAAGGCGCCGGGCCGCGAAAGCCGTTCGGTTACTTTGTGGGTTTGGGGTCGGTGTCGGGGTCGATGTCGGTGATCAGGGACGGAGGCTGGGGGGTGGTAGCCGGGCGCACAAGCAGATGTTGTTGTTGTTTGTAGATTTTGAGTGTTCATTGATTCCCCAAAGTGTAATCTGTGTCTCAATTGAAACATTGCATGGGAATAACGGCACCATTTGAATGCATGCATCGATGCACACCATCACAACAAACAAACCAACAAATGGACCAATCCAGACTCCCATTGCCAGGCCCACCCCTGACCCGCTGGCCCAAGGTCACCACCAAGGGTCCCCGCAAACTGCAGGGCTCTACTTGGCCTAGGCCAGACCTAACTGTTCGCTAAACCATTCGGCAAACATCCGCTAATCCAACCGCTGAAGAATGGTAATGTCTTCCCTGAACACATGAGCATTTAAAGCTAAGCGAAAGCTTAAAAGGAGGCCGAAAAGGGGAAGAAGTGGTTAGGTTGAGAGATTAGATTTCCCGAGGGGTTGGGCACGTGAAGCGGTTTGGAGATTGCTGCAGCATCATGGTGATGGATGTTGTTAACGTTTGTTTTTACACTACCTGCAGTGCAGTCGTGGGAATTGAAGAGCTGAAGACGGGAATCCCTGCCTGCCCGGTGTGATTGTGGTTGATTGATTTTATTGATTGATTGATCGCCCGCCCGCCCGCCCGCTGATCCCGTCGACGGCCGGCCGGGACAATGGAGCCTCCCATCATCAACTGCCGTGCTTGAGGGGGGTACCACAGTACATAGCATGCACAGCCAGCTCCCAAGAGAAAAGCCACGCGTTTTTTTTCTTGTGTTTTTTGCCACTATCGAGTCGGGCTGGACGATTTTTTTTTTTCTTTCGCTGCTTTCAGCACTGATGATAAGCAAGAAACCCTGATAGGCGTTCATCTCTTTTCTTTTTGCACGATGCCTGTGATGATTATTGATTAGAGGTCTTCCCTGCAATGACGACTCGTGTTGCCAAGGGACTGGACACCAATCCTTCGTTTTTCGTTTCGTTTCGTTGGCAGGCACAAGTTCATCGCATCTTTTTCATCGCTGTCGCTGTCAGCCAGCCAGCCCAATTTGATGCCAGCTTATGCCAGCGTGGCAATGCAATTGATATCGAGTCGAGTCGAGTCGAGTCGAGTCGAGTCTCAATGAATCCGTCCCAAAACATCGGGCCAGTCACTCAGTGGCTTCGAGACTTTTGGAGGCTTTTGTGGCTTGCTTTGACGTTCGGCGCTCTGTGGCTTGTGTTGGCCGGGAATGAATGGATGGTCGCGCCCGCCCGGCTTTTTTTTTCCCTGACTCGGCCCATGACGTCGATGTTGATGAAATTTGATTCCAATCGGCGATATTTTGGCCGGGGAGGCAAGATATGCGTGCCCAATGACGCCAATGCTGCATGCGGCTTCTTCCATACTGAAAACGTCAACAGCTCATGGATGACGCAGCAAAAAAAAAACATTTCATCAATTCAAGCTGAAGAGGCATGCATAGTAATGTCCATGATGAAACTGATTGTGAAGGACAAAATGTGTCATTTGGTCACTGGAATGAGGGAATTTGGTCGTTGTAGCTCTCATGTCTTGTCTTGGATGCCCAGCAACCTACCCAATCAATGCGCAATGCTGGTGGGGCTGTGTTGTGTGTTAGTGATGTTCTAGGTCACAGTGTTTACGCTGCTTTCATCATATTGCCTGTGCCGCCGAGAGATCATTCAATGCACTAAAGAAATTCAAAACAAGTGAGACATCGATGCGAATTCTCGCGAAATTCAGGTACGCGAGACAAAGTTTGGTAATGGAAACTCGTGACAGTGTAAATAGAGAAAATGTGGAAGCTGTCGTGAATTCGATGTATCGACAAGTCTCCCGGTCTCTCTCATCTATCTCGCCGTCCAGTCGCTTTTGAAAATGAGAAATAAAAAGGTACCTCTCTAGCAGGTATAGTAGTAATCGTGACATGGAAGTAAATGTAAACTCCCAAAACCAACAAGCCAGCCAGACAGACCCAAATCTTAATCGGCCATGACGATAATGCCCTTTTGATATGCGCCCCAAACGCCGCCGTGAACTCCCCAAGCCCATCCCGGCCCTTGTGTCCCCAGGCCAAACCAGATCATAAAATGTCGTGATACAAAGAAAATGTTACAGAAGAAAAAAAAATTCCATCCGTAGAAAACGTGATGACATCACATCACATCATCTGCAAAAAGTCCATCCTCTCCTGCTCCTCAGCATCGTTCACACCCGTCTCCTTCTCTTCCGCATTCGCAGGTCTCCTTGGAGCCCTGTCATCTTCTCTGGGCCCCGCGCCTCCATACCGATAGACCTCGGGAGTCGCGTAAGCTGAGCGAGCAGGATTGACGTTGGGGCGGATGACGGGAACAGCGGCACAGCCGTGGCTGGTCCGCGATCTGCCTCTGTACGACGCCTTTTCTTCTTCAACAAAGTCGGTGGAGAAGGACGAGTCTTCCGAGGGAGTGTGTTTGTGTTTAGGCTTGTGCTCGTGATCGCGGTAGGGGCGCGGACCACGGCGATGTTGCGAGTTGAGGAGAGCGTCGTCTTCTTGGGGGGAGCGCCGGCTGAGGCGGCGGAAGAGGCGTAGGCAGCCCATGGTTTTTTTTGATTGTGGATGGTGTTGATTTGGCGACAGATGATTTGATAGTGTGGTTGTTTTCTTCAGGTAGGTGCGTAGGTAAGCACGGCTTTCAAGACTGTAGCTTGTCGAGGTGATGAATCTGGGAGAGCTCTTGGTGGATGACCAGAGTGACAGAGGACGAGAGCAAAGAACAGCGGCGGCCTGTCAGACAAAAGTACTGGTGGAAGCTGACAGGAACTCTGCTGACGACGAATGTAAGCAGAGCAAAGGATGACGGACAGATGGTGTCGCAGTGATGGAGTGGAGTGGAGTGGTAGGTAGGTAAGTATGCAAACCCACGGATGGAGGGGGGAAATGCTCGAGTTTAAGAGGTCCCAGGACAGAGAGCTCAGACAAAGGACGAGAGAGCTTTCACTTTCCCAGTTCGGATGGCCGGCCTCTTGGGCACTTGTGCAGGTCCCTAGCAACAACCCCTACTCCTCCGCAAGCTACCTAGTAGTGTAGTACTAACAAACCCAAAGTTGTGGTGAAGTGAGCTGGCCCCCCTGTGAAGAAGTGGAATGCGGGGAGCCAAGCGGGTCCAGAACAAGCTTAAGCGAAAAACAGCGGTCCCATGTGCAACCAGCTCCGCCATGAAATTGTTAGCAGCTGTTAGTGCACCACAGACCTCCCGCCTCCTCTCCCGCCTCTCTAGAGGTAACCCTTTTCCGTCTGCGACCCACCCGACCTGCACCATGGACACCCGACACCCGACATGCCTCCCATCCACAACCTTCAACATGGAAACCTGGTTCGTAGGTACCTAACAACAAATCGGCCGCGGGTTGTTGTCGAGATTTCCGGCACGGGAATGTTGGACGGCAGAAACATTCCTCCTGCAAGTTCCTTGCCGCAAATCATACCTCCCCGGATGCTACCTAGGTACCTAGCCAACATTTGCTGACCTCCGACGTCCCCTTTGCTAGATTCCCCACGATGGGTTACACACCAGCACAGGAGCCGTATCACGAACCGACTTTTCCTCGACAAACAGTCTCGGATAAAATTGGATCAAAAGATCTCTCTGACTATGCCGTACCACCTCTCCAGCTCGACAGCAATCATCACGACTGACACAGAACTCGGGACCCAGAAGATCTGCCCGACCCAGCTGTCGAGATCGACACTCCATTACAACAGGAGGATGTATGTATGTACAGTAACATTATGCAGCATAGCATCTGTCAGTCCGTCGCCAGCCCGCTCAACAGGGCCTGGAGGGTCTCCTCGCACGTGCCTCGTTACAACCCGACCGTTTCTGGAAAGCTGGGCCATGGCAAGCCGAGCTGTCTGGACCGAACGGGAGGAAGGCGGCCAAATGGACAGGCCCGCCTAGACAACGCTTGAAAAGGCAGTCAAGAACCGAACCCTTGGCGATTGGCGACAGGGATCTTGACTGTCTTGCCCCTCACCAAACGTCGGACTGACAAGAAGAGCAGTGCGAACGTGGATTCCTGACGGTATCAGAAGCTGAGTGATTGATAACGGGATTTTTTTCCAATGTTGTGACATGGTCGGCATGGATATCATGGCATGGAGTCCAATGCTCTGGGATGTCTCCGTTTCTTTCAATGGCTCGCAGTTCGTCGCCAATAATCTCTTGACTGATGTTTATGTTTTCACAGGATTCGACTCTCGACCTCAAGATACCTACTCGCCACTTGGACCCTCGACTAAAACCGTAACCACCCCATTGATGCCGGCTTTTTACGAGCCTAGACTGGTTGTACAAAGCAAATCCCACGACGGAGACAATTCGACTTCGCCATTGGCCCCCACCAGCTACCGGAACACGCAGCGGCGCACAAAGAGACGAGTACTCGGCACCAGATCCAATGGCCGTAAAAAGCCTTCGACCCCCACGAAGTACATCCCCAAAGCCACCGAGCCAAATACCAGAAGACAGCGCAGAATTTATGTCGCTTTTTCTTCGCTCTCTTCGACAGAGACTGCGTTGATCGAAATTCAACCGCCCCAAACTTCCAAAAAGGCATCAGGAACCTGATATTCAATCCAGGTCCTCTCGACAGGCAAGTGCCAATGCCGACAAACCGCGCCGCATAAACACATGATCTGTTCTTTACAATCCTTCCGCATCACGCCCGATTGGCTTCCTCGTTTTCTCGACAAGCATTCGTTCGTTAGTTCCTTCGGGCGGGCCTTCTTGTCCTTTCATGCAGATGCGAGCACTACCTACCTCCCTACCTACCTACATTAGCTAGTGATACTACTTTATATTGCGACGGTCAAAGCATTAATGTCAGGGCCTCTAGTGCCATCCGAATGATATCGTCACCTTCTCAAAATACGTTAGGGTACATGCATTGATCTTTATCGATGTAACACTCGATGTATGAGAAAAGTAGGTAGGAGTCACTTCATGCTTTACAGCAACCAACCTGCAAAGTCGCGGTAGTGTCGCACTTTTGCTGGTCCTGTAGCTCCTCACTAGAACTACTCTATTCAATACTTTTGCTTTGTCGTTGCCTGCAATGCCTGGCTATGTATGCTGGTCGGCAATTATGGTGTTCCACTGCATCCTGGTGAGGAAGCGAGTACATGTTGGAAACAGTGGGGGCGGCAACCGCTTGGCGAGGGTAAATATTGAGCAAAGGGGATATACAGAGAATAGCTCTGTGAGGCTCAGCAAAAGCAACCTGAACGATACAAGCTTCTCGGTTTATTCTGGAAATATCAGGATGGCAGTGATGGATTGGACGGTGATGAACGGTCGGCCAGCGGCAGGTGTGAGATGTTGGTTCTTGTGCCTGACCCTGATGTGCAAGTCAAGTATGCCGCAAGTGCGACTACCTCCAGAAAGCCAGGATCGAGGGTGTTCCCACGAGAGATATCATGTTCAAGCGATGTGTTGAGTTAAAGTACCTATGAGAATTTCATCTCCCAAGTGAGCGTTCACCAAGTACGTTTCCTTCAAGTCCCTTCATCAGATCTGTACATCCATATCTCATTTTCCAACTCTCATCTTGATTCCCGGGCTGCTTCTCACTGCGTCGCCCAAGTGAACCGTTCCTAGTGTTCAGCTAGGTACTCCATCGTTATCCCATTCCCGCCTTCCTTCCGTTCAGTTCTGTTACTTACTCAGTCTTTTCTTTTCTTCACTCTTCAAGCCTTCCTTTTCATCGAAGCCCCCAAGACGGAGGGAACATCCGCCATTCCAGGTTTCCAGCTTGGGGTATGTGTAGTACCAATGGTGCCATCCCGTCTGCACTGCCCGCTCGCTCCCCAGACCCCAGTCCAACAACTCCCGTTCCCCACAGTTTCATATTATAGTAGCATGGAGCCTGGCGTTATTCTCGTCGAGGCGGAGGGCGGAGGGCTGGGGGGGCCACAGTTGCACCAAACCAACAGTCCCGATCGTCGCACGACGTTGAACGGGCAGGTAGGTACAGCCTGCCTACGCTAGGTAGGTAAGGTAGGGTGTATTATATTAACCTAGACAACTCCCTCTGGCCACTGCGACTACCCGTTATGTACCTAGGTAGGTACAATCTAACCCTGGTATGTTTGTTAGTTTGGTACAAGCAGGGGTAGAATATAGGGATGACTAGCCAATGGAATCTATTTATTTCAAGCCAATTTAAGGTAAAACTAACACACTATAAACACCATTATACATTATTTGACATTAAAAACAAGGAAAATAAGGTGCAAAAACAGAGATTTGAAATATCAAATTTTAGTAGCCAATATATCTACTATTTACTACAATAACAGAGCGCAACCGCTTAGGCATCGAGTATACCAGCTTCTTTATATAAACCTCTAGGCAAGTAACCTATACTTTATTAATAGCTTCCCTAAAGGCATTCCCAATTAATCTAACCGGGTAATTACACTCAATCCAACGCTTCATCTAGAGCCAGACGTACTCAATAGGGTTCAAATTAGGTGAATAAGCCGGCTACATAACTTACTTATCCATTAGAAAAAACTCGTTCAACACCGCTTTAATTGTATAAAATATATAAACGAGCACGTTATTTTACTATATTATACAATTACAATCCGCGAACTAAAAGGAGTACAACAATAGTACAATACACTCTTAATAACTAACGGAATTAATCTTACCCTATTTCTTATCCTATACTAAAGAAGGCCCTTTAATGCCGTTAGTAAAGTAATTCCAAAATATCCAATTATTAACTCTCTAGCGAATTTATACGTTGTAACTCCAACCCCAGTCACCCCCCTCCTTCGGTCGCATTCCCCACACCGCTATTTTCCTATATAATTTAATACCCTTATTCTTTTAACAATAACAACTCCACTATAACGCTATTGATTTGATTGATTTTAGTCGCAATAAGCTCATTATTATTCGAAGAAGCGATTACTAAGGTCCGTAATAGATTTTCCTAGCGTATAATAACTAAGAAGTATAAGATTCTACAATCCACCCTATCCGACCGTATCCGAAGCATTCCTACCTTATACGATGTTAAAATATCCTAATAACGGTTGTCCCCCGCTTAAGAATTCTTTTTATATAAAAAGATATTGAATAAGGAGAAGGTTGGCCAGCCTTTTAACCGCCGTTACATTGTTAGCTTTATAATAGCGATACTAAAAAGAGGAGGCGATTATAATAAGCTGGGGGCGCGTTGGGTAGACCGCTTTATAAGAAGAAATCCGACCGTTATAATAAAGATTTCGAGCCTCTTTGAGTTAATTAGAGTTGGGGGGTCTACTAAGGAAGCCTTTACAAAATTCTTCGACCTTCTAGAAGCCTAAATTCGCAATAAAGGTATTATTCCTACTAATATATCTAATATAAATAAATATAGTCTTTAAGAGTTGGAATTAATAGATAGTAAGGTCCTTAGGACTACCCTAATAAAAAAGGTATACTTAATAACGATTAATATAACAACTTAGGTGACTATTATCGAATCTAATACTACTAAGGGCAAAAGATTAATTCCCGTTATTATCTTTTTTAGTATTAACCTCTAGGGATAATAGTTCCTTAAAATAGATTACAAACTCAAAAATTAGAAGTACATTAATACCGTTAGTAAATAAAATAATTTAGAGATTGCACTACTATAGTTGAAAGAGGTTTATCTACTAGAAACGAAACTAATTGATAATAGTTAACGTCTCTTAGTCTTCAATAAATATATTAGCTATATAATTAACAACTTCCTCATTAAAGTATTTTAATACTGTTATAGGGCATTCTTAGTGGATACTTAGATGCTCTGTCTTATTATAGCAACTACTTACTAGAGTGTATAGCCTATTATATAAGAGTATTTATTCCGTTAACCTTTGTTAAGGTTAACGGATTATTAATCAATATTATACTAACCGAACGTCTATCTTACTTATACTTAGTAAAGTCGTATACGAAGTCCTAGGTTGAGGCTTGCAATAGCTCTTACCTTTAACCTCCTTTAATAAGACTATTATTAATCGTTACACACTATTACTCTATTTAATAACCAATTATTTACTCTATTATTCTTTATTATTATTACTTATAAAGTATATTATTGTATAATAAGTAGTACCTACAATTTTATTTTAAACCGACTTTATTATTTCTATTATCTCTTCCTTTTATTAAAGGAGGAAATATATTAGGTCTAATAATAATTTATTAAATTTATTAACTATTATTTAACTTTTGTCCTTTTGAACCAAATACTTACACATTTATTCTTTAGAATCTCCTTTCTTTATTACTTTATTACTATTTAATTAGGTCCTAAAGTTAAATTAAATAATATTAAAGACTAACTAAGTAAACCCCCGGACAACTTTCGACTTTTAGAATAAATATCTAATATATAAAATATATTGAATTATTAAATTTACTATATTTGAATTGTAATTTTACTATAAATAGAGATTCTAGTAATTATTTACTAAATTGTTCGTTAAAGCCGCCCAACTATATTTAAATAAAGAAATAGGTCTTATTAAAATCGAATTTAATTAGGCTGTTGATATTAACGATAATATTTATAATAAGGGATAGATCGTTAATTTGGATATAGTAGACTATAAAATTTAATAGGTTTTATATAAATACTACCAATTGGTCGCTAATTACCTACTTCCAATATACTAAATTTGGCTGTTTCCTACTAAAGAAGGTACATCGGTATAGCTCCGGAAGAAGAATTAGAAACAATTTATAGCTAAAATTAAAGAGAATAGTATAATTATTAATATTACTATTTAAGTACTAATTTCCTTTAGTACCGGTAGTATTACTATTTTAGTAGTTATTAGCGTTTACTCTTCGCCGGTTAATTTTTTAAATATAGTTAAAATAGTTAATATACTAAACTATATTAACTTAGTATAAATTCTTATATTACCTTCCTTACTATTTATCCCTACTAAATAGTATATTTAATTAGATTTAATTTAACAATCCTTCTCGCCTACCGAATTCATAATTTTGCAAACGAATTTAATTATTAAAATTACTACTAGTATTACCTAACAATTAACTATTAATCTTACTATTAAATATTTTGGAAATTTTATATAAATTCAAACTTTCTTATACTTTACGTAGAAATAATAATAGGAGTAAATAAAATAGTATCTAAGAATTATTTTTACTAATAATTTCCCGGCCTATTTTATTAATTAGAATTAAAATACTATACGTTTTATTTAACGTAATATAAAGCCCGGAGGTAAATTTCTAAATCCTCTACTTTATTTCGCGTAATTAATTTATAACGTTATATATTTAGTTCAAAATAGTATAAAGCCCGGTTTCGGTCTCCCGGCCCCTACTATTATAAAACGTATTATTTCTCAACTTTACGAAAATTCCGCAATTAATTATAATTAGTATTCTAACGGTCTTATTAGTCCTACTAGCAAAATAATTATAATTAATACTAAAAATCCTTATAATACCGTTGATTTAATTAATTAAATAAAAAATCTTTAGATTAACCGTACTAACCAATAACTCCTATTTAATAATATTAATTAGCTTCCTATTTATTTTTA